ACCTAGGTTGTCACTCAATTACCAAAACCAAACAAGGACCTTTCAGCGCCGATCAGATCATCTGGACGCTCGTCCCCCTGCGTCCGGTTGAGGGATCGCTGCCACGTGTCACTGCTTCAAACGTGTGCCATCCGATCATAACGGTCAACTTGATCATGCGCTCAAATTAATGAACGATCGGACGCACCCAATGTTTTCCTAAAAGCTAAACGTTAAACAGTCGATCACCTATTGTTTAGCCATTATTCGGGTTAAACAGTCCATTAAACGGACTAAACGGACAATTAAACGGGGCAAACGGATGATTAAACGGAAATAGAGCACCAAAGTGTAGCATTTACACGGTGTTTAAACGGGCTAAATGGCCGTTTAGGCGAACAGCCCGAGGCGCCAACCCAGCGACCTGACGTGCCGATGGAATGACCGGATGCTCCATCAATGCGGAGTCCGGTCACTTCCAAAGAGCATCCAGAGTCGCACTTTCTCGATCGGACGCGTTCGAGGGAGCATGACCGGACTGCCGCTGCACGCTGCCGCTGCACGCCAACAATTTCCCTGCCACGTCACCATACGTCATCGTTGACCAGACCCAGAGGCTACGTGTTCGATCACTTCCTCGCGCCATCGTTTGGTCAACTAGGCCGAGACCGCCCACTACTCCACTACTAACCGGACGCACAGGTCCAGCGTCCGGTCCTATGTCCGGTCAGCATAGTGACCTCCTCGACTTCCCAAACTTCACCACCCTTGCTCAAATATGCCAACCACCAAGTGTATCACTTTGTGCACGTGTGTTAGCATATTTTCACAAACATTTTTAACGGTGTTAGCACTCACTAGAATCTAAATGCATATGCAATGAGTTAGAGTATCTAGTGGCACTTTGACAACGACATTTCGATACGAGTTTCACCCCTCTTAATAGTACGGTTGTCGATCCTAAATGTGATCACACTCGCTAAGTGTCTCGATCACTAAACCAAAACAACTCCTATTAAGTTTCACCTTTGCCTTGAGTTTTTTTATTTTTCTCTTTCTTCTTTTTTCAAGCCGAGCACTTGATCATCACCATGGTCACACCATCATCATGATCTTCACCACTTGCTCCATTACTTGGAATGTGCTCCATATCTTATGATCACTTTGATAAACTAGGTTAGCATTTAGGGTTTCATCAATTCACCAAAATCAAACTAGAGCTTTCAACTGCAAGCGTGGCCGCTCTCCCGCACACGCTGTCGCTCGAGGCAGGGGGTGTGCCATGTCATCGCTTGTCTCACCGACCGCACCGACGTCGTTTTGGCGGTGGCGCCAACCAGGACTCCAGCGAGGGTTCTGACCTACAGCTGGGGCCTGGGTGGGGCCCGACGTTCCAGCAGGCGCCGCGTGTCATCGTGGGCGAGATTCCCTACCCGTTGCTAGTCATCGTGGCCAAGACTGCTGAGGTGCAGGGATCGTTAGCTGCTGACATCGGGTCCGGTGTCTTCTTCCAACAACCAGTCGTCTGTGAGGTTCAATGATTTCGAAATTTAAATCCCCAACTCTACGAAGATCGCACCGTTCAGGCTGGATCTAATGCTCTGCTTTGTCGACCAGCCGGCTGCCTTGAGCGACAAGGGCTTGTCGCCAAACCAGGTGTCCCGCTCGGATGTGCTTTCCAGCGCAGAATCGGAAATGGCGCTGCAAAGTGGCCATTCGTAGACGTCGTGGGCAGCTCATCTGGTGGCTGAAGACCATGGCATCATGGCATGGCCCGCCACTCCGCCCGCCATCTGCGGAGGGGCTCCTGTGGCCATCGCCGTAGACACGTCCTCCCAGTTTGACGAGCCTCCAGTGAGCCCCACCTGGGTTCAGTTGGGCATGGAAGCTAGCCATGGGCCGACACAGTGTGGGCCGCTGCAGAAGGAGGTGGACCACATCCAACAATTGGGCTCCGCTGTACTTGATCTGGGCCTATGCGACAACCAAACCCATAGAGTGCTGGATTCTCAGCCAGATGGGGACATCCCAGCGTTGACGACCCAGTCAGTCGCCCAAGTCCGCAACATGTCGCCCGCTATTGTCGCTTCGCCTACAGTGCAGCCCGTCACCGTCCAGGAGTTCATCGCCGGTCTCAAGCTGCCGCTTGAACAACCCTGATCCAGTCGCTGCCGCGCCTCCGTGTCTCGCGCGTTCAGGTGGACCTCGTCCCCCGTCGCAATGACAGGCTTGCGGCGAAGTCTGTCTACTGCGACCTCAACCCGGAGAAGCAGGCCAAGCGGGTCCTGCTGAACAAGTGGCATCCCTCATCCAGTGCTCCACGGCCGTCACCAGTGACACCCGACGCCTCCATCGCCACTCATTTCCATGGTACGTTCCAGGACCCGCTGTCTTCATCCAAGCGCGCAGCAATGCGGGAACTCTTCCCCATGCATGGTGCTCGCAAGAGGCGGGTGGCGACACAGGCGTCCTAAGCACGGGTTCGCTCAACGTCGCTAGCTCTAAGATCTTAGGTCGCACTTCTAGTTTCTTAGTTTGTTACAACAGAGTGTGTTCCACCACCGTGCGGTGCCTTGTGTTAGTGTTCAATCACTTCGCTCGTGGCACCTCGCCGTGATATGATGTTGGACGTGTAAACCTTCTTGACTTCTTCTTAATGAAACACGTGCTAAGCACGTTCTCGAAAAAGAAACCGCACACACAATTTTACAAACAAATGTTTGGATATTTTTTTAGCAGTCTAATTATCTAGAGCAACAATGGGCCTATTCGGCTGGCTGTTTTAAAGCATTGTAGCTGTAAATTTGCACTGTAGCTAAAATATTTAGAACCACGAATACATCTAGAAACTGTTTGAATGAAGACGGCAGCCAAGTAGCACCCCAAACGTACGATTTTGGACGCATAGGCATAACCTGACTAGACAACGCTTGCCAGGCTTCTTCTATCAAGCCAGCCCCTTAATCATTTGTACGGCGCGCTCATTATCTTCCAATCATTAATCAACCTCTGATCTAGCGTTTGTTTTTTTGCGTTAAGTTCAGGTAGCTCTGCAGCCCGCGGAATCGAGCGCGGACCACGGTTTTGGTGCAACTACAAGGGCGAAAGCGAAGTCCACGACAGATTTCCTTTAATTTCCTTTAATCTGTCTTGAATTAAGATAACGAGAGCGCAACCAAAGCCAGTGCTAGCCGCAGATGTTTCATCAGCTCTGACGAGCTGCTGACCCGCGGATGGCAGCGCACAACGAAAAGGATGGTATCTTTGCTTTCATCCTCTGTGTTCATCCGTCTGAACTCAACCATTAGCAGCTTAAATTGCTCTGGCTTGTCAACTTTGCTTGTCGAAATTCAATAGAACAATGGCTAAACCTGTACGGGACTTGCCAGTATTGTAGCTGTTGATTCACCTCTCCGGGGCGGGGATTGCCAAAAACAAAGGCTGCAGGATATCGAGTCAAAGTGCAGACGAGAGAGCACGGAAGAAGCTGGACTTGGACGTTATTGTATAAATAAATAAATGGTCTACTACGATCATGTGATTTCTCCTGCGACACAGCCACTCGAAGGAACCGGACGAATCGTTCTGGCATTTTCTGTGTGTGTCTCGCCACCCCAAGACAGAACTGCTTTGTATGCATCCTTTGTGGTCGGCAACTACTCTCTGCAGCCCGTGATTCGTGCATCCTTTTTTTTAATTAACATCTGAACAATATGCAAATGACAGAAGCATAACAATGACATGACACACTAGACGTTTAGAGCTTCATGTACGTGATTAGCTAATATTCCGGCATTTTTGAAAGAAAAGAGCACGTAAATGTTAGTCCGAAGATACATTTTGAAAAAAAAACATACTTAGCTGTATAATTTGGCCAACAGTTAATCAAATTATTGGCATCCATAGGCGTATAATAATTACAACATTAGACTCATGATCCAATCTGCCTATGTTCACTGAAAGGAATCGCGATTGTTCGATTTCATTCCCCCTGCAGTTACTTACCCATCTCTTTCGCGTTTGCTGCTCGCTCGTCTGTTCGTCCTTCCTATTCAACTTTAGGAAACGACGTTCGCGCCATTCTTCTATATATATCACTCGTGAGCCCACAGTTGACACTAGACGTGTGGCGACACGCCGCCCACCTGCCGGCCCCTGGCCCGTGCACACCGTCGTCCGCCGGTCCTACGAGGCGTACTTTTTCAGGGAAAAAATAATGTTTTTTTTAAAAAAATAAATTATTAAATAATACTTTTCAGCTTGTCTTTTTTTACGAAGAGACCAGGCAGCTTTAACAGTTGAGCATCTTATTGGCGCCAAACCGGTACACGCCAGAGGACAGAGGAGGTCTCTCGGTCGAGTCTTCTGCAGGCGAATGTGACTTGCATTGTGAAGGGACAGCTATACGTATATAATAACACGACAAACAGGGAGTGGCGAACAATCGAAGCCGGCCGTCAGCACACACGGGACATGAAAGCCGCACAAGTAAAGATCAAGAGTACTATAGCTGTTGACGATGCTAACTGATGCTTGTGTTTCAGATCAAGATAGCAAAAGGTATATCTCAAGTAGATCCGCCGTTTACATCGAGCAGTACGAAAACAACCCATGTACAGTGGACACAGCAGAGACATCGACTCGAGGTCCATACAGAACGGCCAGCTTCTTTCTTCTTGGCGCCGCTAGCTAGCTATACACGGAACAGCACGGCCTGCTCGTCCACTCGATCTGACGGTGCGTGGCGTGAAGACCCTAACAAATATGCTAGCTTAGCTTAGGCGGCCTCAGCACCGTACACCGGCCGTGCCGTACCCACGATACGATATATACGACGTACTAGTAATATAAGCTAATATTAAGTACACGACAGGACTCGTTAAGCTCTAGTAGAATTTATACTAACAATATGTACTCCTGCATGCTACTTAGTAGCTTATAAAACCCTCAAGACTCCATGCCATGCTCTTCATTCTTGTCTGAGACGTATGTACGCCGCAGGGATATGATGGGCTTCAACTTCATGGTCTCCCAGGGCTCCTAGGTTCATGGCGGTTGTTGGCACCGGATCCTGGGTAGTCGTTCACCTCGATGTCCATCCTCACTGCCACCTCGCCCAGGTTTCCACCTCCCACCGCACCCTCATCCTGTATAGCAGTATAGAGACGACGTACACATAAAATCAAAGATTAGCTGATGAGTTGCTACTTGCTAGGGCGTGCGTCAGATATTAAAAAAAATTAATTTATTATGATGACATTGTGTTGTTGCACGAACGATGACGTTGATCATCAACTGAACCTTTTGCCTTTTGTGGCGGGAAAGGCGTCGTGAGTGGGGTAGGGTACGCAAATTGCAACTGTGCGAGTGGCCATGCATGTGATCTGCACTATGGCCGGCCGTCCGTCCGGCCTAGCTAGCTAACAGTGCATGTGAGTGGACTGCCTGCCCCAAGCCCCCAACTTCCAACGCTCGCTTGTGTTCATTGATCTGCTCTCTGCTCCACCGAGCATCAAAAGGCCGCAGCAACGACAGCTCACATGTGTATATATATTGATGTATGTTCTGTAAAAAGGCAAAGGAAAGGTAGGAGCTGGAACGTTGTATACCGTATACGTGTCAGCGTGTTCGACTTAGTCTCGGCTTATTTCAGCTTATTCTCTCTCACAGAACACTATTGAATTAATCGAAATCAGAGTGCGCATGCAGAGAGAAGCTGGCCCTAGCTAGTCTGTGACGGGTGGTGTTTTATGAACTGGAGGGCAGCTACAGGAGAGCACTGAGCCTGTGACTGTGAGTGCGCTTAGTTAAATTAAATGGTCTATTTCGTGCGACTGCGCCGGCATGGGAGCTAGCTAGCTCACGTGCCTTGTTGGCACATTGGATGGAGGCAAAGCGCGCGGGTTCTAGCTTTCTCCAGCGCTTACAGAAAAAGCACGAGCTTGCGCAGGCAGTTTGTGATGCGTGATGATGAAATCTACCAAGCTGCAGAACCAGAGAGCGCGACCGACCTGGGCAGGAACTTCCAGAGCAGGGTCCGAGGGCAGCTGGCGGTTCCTCAGCGACAGGCTTCCTGAGAAGCAAAACAGGGCAGCAGCTAGTGAGGAAGCATGACATAGATAGATAGCCAACGAAGAAGAAGAACGCAACTGAAGAAGCATGGACGACGACTGGTATGGTGGCTGCTGCTTACTGGACAGAGGCGCGGCAGAGGAAGCCCGGGGAAGAAGAAGGCAGGAGAGCATGAAGCAGAGGACAATCAAAGCCTTCTTCTTAGAGGTGAACTCCATCACCGCCGCCGCCACAAACCACAGTACAGAGCAAAGACGAGGTAGAAACTGCTCTATTGATTGAGTGGCTCTATCGATCTTTCAATTCAAAAAAAAAAAAAAAAGAAGAAGAAGAAAGAGATTGAGCGGCTCTCTCTCAGTCCTCGGCTACCACAGAAATGAAATGAACCCAACTGTGGGCTGTGGCTGGTGCCTCTCGCGCCAATCTGATAGGCATGCAGTGGATGGTAGCCAATGGCCATGGGTAGTGGGGGATTTTATACACAGCACAAGACAGCTCAACCTCTCTCTCTCTCTCTACCGCTTGTTTGTGGGTGTGTGCAGGTCTGAAAGTCAACTTGCACAGTTTGCTTTAGGTCTCGTTTTCTTTTCTAAAGTTTACTCTATGTTCCAATGAATATTTGGAGTATTAAATATAGACTAAAAAATAACTAATTGCACAGTTTGTGACTAATTTACGAGATGAATCTTTTAAGCCTAATTAGCTCATGATTTGACAATGTAGTGCTACAGTAACACATGTGCTAATGATGGATTAATTAGACTTAATAAATTTGTCTCGCGGATTACCGATGGATTCTATAATTTTTTTTTTATTAATATCTGAACATCCAATACGACATCCTATGTGACATCGTACGTGACCTCCCAAAACTTTACGCCTGGTTTAAATAAGGTCTTATTTCAGAGCAACGAGTGGAGGACCGACCGACGATGGAGCATGTGTTCCGCGACCTGTGTCTTTAATCTTTTTGGGGTCTCCTCTTGATTTCATCTTCCTCTGATCGCTCGATGCTGCTGACACTGGCTGGCCCGTGGTGAGGGCCGGGGCGAGGTGTCGCATGCGTAGGCCTGGTGCGTGGTGGGCGCAGCTGGCATGTGTCCACGGGTTCGTGCGTCCGTGGGGAAGTGCGAACCCCACCTAACATCCGCACCCAGCCGGACGGGACCTCTCGCTCGCTGCTGGTCAACGACACCAGTCTTGGCGTCCGTCCAAGAGCATGGTGATTTGTATGTATATATCTCGTACGTGCATGGAGCAACTCTGAGCTGTCGGATGCGCGCCTCTTGCTCGGTGCTCTCCTGTAGGGATGGCCTGGACGGACGGACGTACGCGTACCTAGGGATGGCGGGCGGCGTTGTGCATTGCGAACCAACTGTGACGCAGCAGTTGGCTCGGTTAGGTTAGGTATTTGGGTGCACGCCCACTCGATAAAATACGTACAGCACTGATCATCAACAAGCTAATAAGTCCCAATTTGCATCGCAAGTACGAGCACACGGCAGGATTCCTCCGACCCAATCCTCGGTGGCTAGCGCGCAGACGGGAAATGAAAAAGGAGATCATGTCGTGCGTGGAAACGAGAGTGAACACGGAAGATGGTGTGTAACCCACTGCGGGATCTCACGTTCCGCGCGAATCCTTTTTTTTTCCCCACACGGCGCAGTGCATGTACCCAACCTAACCTAGCTGCCCGATCGACGTCTTGGTCGGGATAGAATATGCTTTTCCTCGCTGCAAGGCACGCAGCTCAACGAGGCTGCAGTGGTCATCAACACCCGTGACAGCCGAGTAGCCGACACGTTTTAACGGTACAATCTTTTGGGCCGTTATTCGACGAGAGCCCATGAAAGTACTCGTACCACGAACGATCTCTACCATCCTGACCTGAGGGTGAGGGGACTGGCAGCTCGGCGTCTTGAATTCGTGAATTGACATGACATCGGCCGGATTCCTTTCACCTTGGATTTGGATGGGCGTACGGTACGGGCAGCACGGCGCGGTGGCCGACGAGCCCGTACTACGTGGACGACGCCGACGAGCCCGTACTACGTGGACGACACCGACGACCGCACATTCTCATTCTTGGTGGCGGATCGTGGTGGAGGGGGCGCTTGGTCATCCCCGGATCCTGGTGAGCGCGCTCGCATTGGCCTCCGCGCCAAAAGCTATCGGAAAACAGAACGGCGACTGCAGCGCCTTTTGGCTTTTCGCACGTTATCGCTGACCTCGTTTCATTTCCACAAGGGGCAATCGGGTGTGGACGTCCCTTGCCTCGCTGAAAAAACTCCCAACCTAACCACACAGATCAGCTTTGGATCCCCCATCCGTATTCCATGTGCTAACCCTTGTACCACGAGCTTATTTGCGTGTCATTGTTTTATTTTTATCTTTTATTATTGGATAATACTTTTCTACAGTGTTATTTGCACTCGCTGTTTACTTTTGAGTGGCTGGGCCCTGTTGGATTTACATTACTAATGGAGTAGCTAGCAACTCAAAATTAGCAAGTCTAGATCTAAACAGGCCACCTGCTAATTAGTAAGGTGGTTGCTGCTAGCAATAAGCGAGTTTTAGCATGCTATAATTTTAGTATGATCCAAACAGGCCTAGCTGGTCAGTCTGCTTCAATATGAGCCGGCCCACTAAGCATGAGCTATATGGGCTGTAATCTTATAAACAGTGATCTGTGCCTAGAACTGCATCCCGCAGGCCCAGCCAAGAACTGCAGCCCACAGACCCAAGGACCAGCACGAGCCATCCCTTACCGGCGACCACAGAAACAGAATACTAGCCGTCCGATCACAACGAGATATTATCTCTCCAAACTCCGTCCGCCGTCCGCCGCACCGCGCCGTTCGGCTAAACCCGGCCGCCCGCCTGCCGCCACCCCATCCCGAAGCCGGGAGCGGAGGCGCAACACCCTCCTCCTGCTGCTCCGGCACCATGGGCGGCGCCTCCAAGCTGCTCTCCTCCCTCCTCCTCACCTCCTCCCCGCTCCGCCTCCGACCCACTACTACTGCCGCCGCCGCGGCGCTCTTCCTCTCCCCGCCCGCGGCGGCCTCGCGCCGCCCGCTCCTGCTCTCCTCGCCCTCCCCGCCCCGCACCCTCTCCACCTCGTCCGCCGCCGCCGCGTCCTCCTCCCTTCCGCACGGCTCCAGCTCGGCCTCCCCGGCGCCACCGCCCCGAGCTCCTTTCCCCGAGTGGTCCCGCCTCGTCGACCGACTTGCCGCCGCCGGGTACGGCTCCGGCGCGCCCTTTCCCTCTGACGATCTCGAACTCGCGTCCGGATGCGGCCTGTCGGACGGTGCGCAGGCCGCTGTCTCCACCTGCCTCGCCTTCGCGCGTGACCGGCCTGGCCTCCTCAGGTGAAGTGAATCGCTTGGCTGCCTCCTGACCGGGCTTTGGCGGGGTTGAAGGTCTCTTAGTCGCTGTCTTGCTGACTAATTCGGGTGCTTGTCCAGTTCGCTTCAAAGGAAGGACGTAGAGGTCCTGGTGGCCAATGCGGCGCCGTCTCTGTTCAAGGATGGGGAGGCATCAGCACAGCGGCTTCGGCGCTACCTTGCTGGGGAAGAAACCGATGTATGTCATTTGGGCTAGTAAATATTAGTTCAGTCATCTGCATGTTCATCAGTCTACTGGAATATGAGTATATGACCTTGCTCAGCTCAACACACTGAACATGGAAATTTTTGCCAGGTCATTGTTTCAGAGAGAGCTGAAACTGTTGATATTGTTCGATATCTCCTAAGTTACACATACGGTTCTTCTGACAGCTACTCAGAAGACAAGGAACTTACTGATTCCGCTGTGAGAAATATCATGGCTGAGTTAGTGAGTTTTAGTGGTCTTTCCCAACCTTCCACTTCTGCGGAATCAACTCCCAACCAAAGTTGCTTGAGTCAGCATGAACGATTTTCCAGGCCTCCAGGGCAAAATATCAAAATGAAGCGAGGTGATTGGATTTGCACAAGGTATGCCACTTCTAACATTTTTTTTCTTTAACATTTGTCCCCTCTCAATTCCTTGCATTAAAGTATGAACCTACCCTATTATTCATTTTGCTACTAGATATGATGCATCTAAAATGTGTGCCCAGATGTTTCCTTTTTTTGGCAACCTGATACTATTGTCACACTAACTTGTAACCTTCTGCCTGTTTTTTTCTATAATACTTGTGTGTTCTTTCATCTGCTACTCAATGTTTATGAAAATTTCTCTGCAACTTGCAGATGTAGTTTCATGAACTTTGCAAGAAATGTTAGGTGTCTTGAGTGCAATGAGCAGCGGCCAAAAAAGATGTTGACTGGTGGAGAGTGGGAATGCCCTCAGTAAGATCTGACATGCTAATTGCTAAATTATTTATATTAAGTTTATATAACTCTGACAAGGCTGACTTTGTTTTGTTCTTTTGCTAAGGTGTGATTTCTATAATTATGGGAGGAATATGTCATGCTTAAAATGTGATTGCAAGAGGCCAGCAACAATCCCACCGAATCCTGCATCTGTTGGTGCCGGTTTAGGTGGTGTGGCACAGCTCCTTAGTGTAACGAGTGCTGGTAAATCTGAAATTGAGAGAAAACTTGCTGAAAATGATGAAAAGGCAGAAAGATGGTTGAGCAAAGTATCTCAACTTCATGATTCAGCTGACTTAAGTAGTCTAGCAGAAGATGAGGACTTTCCTGAGATTATGCCTATGCGCAAGGGGGTGAATAAGTTTGTGGTTAGCACGCGCAAATCACCACTGGAGAGAAGGCTTGCAAATGCACAGTACAGCAGTAACAATAGCCCCGCATCATCCGACCCAAAGATAAGTCAAACTTTAGACAGGATACTTGGGCGTTCAACTCCTACTGCAGCCCCAAACAATCAATCTGTTACTAGTGACTCACCTACTGAAGCTCCAAAGAAATCAACAGACCACCTTGGAGGCATTGGTCCTGTTCCGTTTGTGCCCCTGTCTGCAGATCTCTTTGCTAAACCACAGAGTAATAATGGACAGAGCAATGGGAATGAAAAAATCAATGCAGAAGATGACAGTTCCATGGCAAATAACACAGTGCCTGTACCTGAGAGGCAAAGCACGGAATCATTAGATACCGCTGAGAAATGGTCCAAAAAAGTAGCAGAACTTGACAATGCAAAGGATTCCCCAAGTGCAATTTCTGATGAAAATTTCCCTGAGATTATGCCAATAAGGAAAGGTGAAAACCGATTTGTTGTTAGTAAGAAAAAAGATCGCTCATTGACATCACAACAGTACAAAAGGTGCAGTATTCTTGAGCAGGCAGACAGTTCTGATTTTGTCCCATTTGTTCCATTTCCTTCTGGCTACTTTGCCAAGAAAGATACACCAATAGAGAGTACTACAGACACAGGTATTGTGTCAGAAGGCGGTCAACCAAAAGGTAACCTGAATAATGAGAACTGGAACAGAAATTACTATAAGCATCAATCACAATCTCATGGGGCACAATCTAGGCCTAGTGGTACTGCATATACTGGCACTCAGATCACGGGCAACTCCCAGGGGAACTACAATGGGAGCAGAGGTGAATCTACTTACCATGGAGCTAACTTTGAACAGCAACACTCAGGTTATAGCAACAACAGTTATTGGGGCAGTGATAACAATAACAGCAACAATGCCTGGAGTGACAACAGCAATTATAACAACAATAATGCTTGGAGTGGTAACAATTCCTATAACAGCAGTACTAGGAACGGCAATAGCAGCTACAACAGCAGTCATGGTTATAACTACAATGGTACATGGAATGACAGCAGCAACAGTGCATGGAGCAGCAACAGCAACAATAACCAGAGTGGTTCATTTGCTAATAATAACAGTGTCAATAGCAGCAGTAGTTCCATGAATGCTAATCACGCGGTTCACAGCTCAGGATATGGAGGAAACTCAAACAGAGGTTATACTGGAAAGAGCATGGAAGGATCTGCTGTAAAGGATCCTGATCCTCTAGACATGTCCGAGGAAGCTAAGGCTGAGAGATGGTTTAGGAGGGCAGCTCAGATAAAGGACATCTCTGAGCTAGCGAACATTCCCGATGAGGACTTCCCTGAGATAATGCCGATGAGGAAGGGGGTGAACAGATTCGTTGTGAGCAAGAGGAAGACACCATTGGAAAGGAGATTAACATCCCCACAATACAGAAGGAACCTGCCAATCGTCAGTTCTGAAATGGACAAAGATGCCAGCTGAAAACAGAAGTATGATTGCCTGCATACCACAATCTTAACTGTGATGCGATGCACCATTTTTACACCCAGGTATTGCTCGATACCAGTTTGTAGCGATAAGCGAGCAATCAGAAACAGAAATCATGAAAATAATGCCCCAGGAAAGGTTTTTTGTATGGTAAGTAAAATTTTGTTCGGAATGACCTGGGGTTTGCTGGATTGTGTTTGCTACATGTATACTATACACATTTGTGTTGTACTAAAAAACTTTTTACATGCAACCCGTGCATCGGTGCATGGCATTATCAAAGTTTTGGCTTGTCTGAGGTTACATGTGTACTGAGTTTGTTCATAAATCCAGATACTATAATATATTCTACTAATTGGTTTTGATGATGCAAAATATGTCTGCTTTTTAGATCTTCTTTAGCAAGGTTTTTGCTAGGGCTTCCCTACCAGTTTAATCAAAAGCTCTACCAAATGTGCACACGTGAGAACAGCTTGCAAAGCTAAACCAAGCCAAAACCGAAAGCCATTTTCGCCAAGAAGTCTAAGCCACAAAAACATGGATTTCCTTAGTTTTTTTTAGACGAAAGAAGAATTATATTAGATCATAGTTGATTACATTATCACGTTACAAGCACACTGGAATACACTACGTATATCTAGAACCTGATCATCTAAATTGTACCCACGCTTTGTATAACTTAAAATCTCTAACTCCAAACCTGTATGACAATTCGTATGTGCGTTATTAGTTTAGTTCATGCCATACCAAACAAGACCTTAGAGCATCTCCAAGAGGCTCTCTATATCCTTCCTAAATTCTAGTAATAGAAATTTTAATGAAAAACTATCCTTCAACTTCTTCTCTAAAAGGTTATTCAAATATAAGTATGAGAATGGCTCTCTAAAGTGTGCATGAGATATAGAAGAACTATTGAGAATAAAAAGATATAGAAAACGATTTTTATATAAATGACTCTTCAAATGATAATTTAGAGAGTGAGATTTAGAAAGGTTATTGGAGATGCTCTTAGTTTACTTACCGGTATATAGTTTGAGTGAAACAAGTTGTATGATTCTGCATTGGTAAAAACACAATCAGGGACAGATCTAAAATTTGAGTAAAGATTACATGTTCATTTGTTTCAATGCAATTCATAAACTTTCCTTGTATGCACAGATTAAAAAAAAATCGAACTATTATAAGATTTAAAAGACAACTCATTATAAAGGTTGCCCGTGTGAAGTTGTATGCATGAGACTAATATACACCCATGTACTGACCCTAATTGGGACAATGGTTGCAGCTCACGAGATTACCATAGACAGTGCTGCAACACTGACAAAATTGGGCCTGATAAGCAAGACAATACGGTGGATCCTAACTATTCGTCGAGCTAGCTGAATCAACAACACTACAAGCGGGCGACTTCCTCACTGCAGTATCAGCCATCCATCGCCTGACGTTCATGGCGTCACTCCATCGATCAGCACTCGCATAAATATTGCTCAGCAACATGTAGTCCCTCGCTGTTACCGGGGTCTAGTTCACTGAGCTTCTTGGTGACCACCTCGGCCACAGCCACGTTACCATGTGTCTTGCACGCCCCTAGCAGTATCCTCCAAACCACAGGGTCCGGAGCCAGGGGCATCTCACTGATGAAACTCAGCGCCTTCTCCAGCTGACCAGCACGGCTGAGAATATCGACAACACATCCGTAATGCTTCATCTGCGGTTCCAAGCTGTGAACTGATTTCATCCTTTCAAAGTGGTCAAGCCCTTCCTGAACTAGTTGCCTGTTAGCACAAGCGATCAGCACACCAAGGAAAGTAACCTCATTTGGTCTGGGACCTTCAGTGAGCATACTGTAAAAAATGTTCAGTGCCTCATCCTCAAACCCATTCTTTGCTAGTCCTAGTATGATTGAATTCCATGACAAGGTGTCCTTCTCCTCCATCTCTGTGAACACTAGTAGTGCCTCCTGCATGCACCCACACTTTGCAAACATGTCAATCAGAGAGTTCTCCATAATGGTATCAGCTTTGATATTGTTTCTCCTCACATAGTCATGAATCCACTTACCAAGATCAAGTGCACCCAAGTGTCCGCAAGCAGAAAGTACACTGGCAATCACGATAGCATCTGGTTTCACCTTGGCTCTCTGCATCTGCCTGAAGAGCTCCAGAGAATCAGAGAAGTGACTAGCTTGCGAGTATGCGCATATCATAGAACTCCAGGAAATCAAATCTTTGTTAGGAATTTGATCGAATATTTTCTTCGCTGAGACCAAATTCCCACCCTTTGCATATGCGGTGATCATTGCATTCAGTGTCACGGTGTTCTTATCCTTCATCTGAGAAAACACCTTTTCAGCTGATTGCAGCTGCCCAATTCTACAGTAATAATCAATCAAAGTATTTCCCAAGTACACATCCACCTCAATATGATTAAGCTCGATGTACCTAACCATACAATCTGCCATGCTCCAGTCTCCTAGATGAGTGCAAGCTGAAATCACCTTGACCATTGTAACCTTATCAGCTTGCACTTCTTCAGCCTGCATTAGCTCGAATAATGCCAATACCTCTTTACATCTATTGCGCTGGCTGTATCCACCGATCAAGGAATTCCAGGACACGACATCCTTAACTAGCATCTCATCAAAGACAGATCTTGCACAGACCAGATCACCGCAAGCAGCATATAGATGAATCAGAGAATTGGAAACAAAAATGTCCAGAAGAAATCCAAGTTTTATAACATGGTTGTGCATCTGTTCACCTTCCCTGGGAGCATAAGTTTTTGCACAAGCCTTCAACACGAAAGGAAATGTCAGGTTGTCTGGTTTCATACCCTTTTCCTGAGCTTTCTTGTAGAAAACAATTGCATCTTTTGGTGCATCACTCTGAGCAAGCCCCCTGAGTAGAGTATTCCAAATAAAAGTTGTAGGTGATTCGATCTGCTCAAATACTTTATGAGCAAAAACCAAATCTGATTGTTGAAGAGCATAAGATCTGATAACCTTGGACATTGCATATTGACAGTTGTGCAGGCCAGAAACAACGAGATGAGCATGGAGCTTCTTTACAGCTTCCATCATTACAAATGATCTAGTTACTAGTTAAAGAGGAGCAAGAACTGGACATGAGGTTCACTTCACCTGCTTCCTGCAACTGCAAGGAATCGTAAGAATAGGTAAAAGGTCCAACAAACAGTTGTACTGGCGAAATAGTCATTTTGAAGATAGAAACGAGTGAACAAATACATCATGCCTTCGAGGCTTATTATCAGTACATAAAAAGAAAACAAAGTGAGATGGCACAATGGTAGCACTGAGTTAACAAATATGGAACTGCAGGCATATCATTTATGACAATCTATTTAGCAACCAAGAAACAATAAAATTCAATTTTGTCTCTTTACATGGAAGATAAAAAGGGTAAAAAAGTGCAATAACCCACCATTAGGCTGGAAGATTTTTAATGAAGTTGGTATGCTACTGGGAGATAATTAACATGGTAAGGTTGCAACGAAATTTTAGAGAGCTTCTCCTCTCATCAGACTGAACAATTTTGATGACTACTGAATATCACCAACCAAAGCAATCCCAGGAACCTTAACAATTTTCCTCTCATCCAGTAATTTCCGTGCTTGTTCAGCATCAATGAACCTACCAAGCTCATTAAGTACATTGGACAACACCGCAAAATCACCTCCGGATTCTCTTTCTAAGTCTGATATCATCTTTATTGCCCTCTTCCCCATCTCAACTTCTCCATACTTACTGCAACAACCCAACAGTATCCTCCATACAATTACATTAACCTCCATAGGCAACCCTTCTATTATTTGCTCAGCCTCACACAAACGTCCAGCCCTACCTAGCATGTCTATGATGCACCCAAAATGCTTGATCTCTGGATCTATATTGTACTCATAAACCATGCTTTTGAAAAACGCTAACCCTCGCTCTACCAGCCCCCCATGACTGCAGGCATTGATGACACTCAAGAAGGTGATTCTGTTGGGCCTAATCCCTGCTCTTCGCATCTCTGCAAACAGCTCAAGTGCCTCAACTGACAGCCCATGCATTGCAAAAGCAGAAATTATTGATGTCCATGACACCAAGTTTCTTCTATCCAGCATTTTATCAAACACCTTTAGCGAGTTTTGCACAGAGCCAATCTTAGCATACAAGTCTATGAGTGAATTCCCAACCCGGGCATCTGACACAATACCCTTCTTCTCACAATAGCCATGCAGCATCTCACCCATAAGGATCCCTCCAAAATTAGATATTGCAGGAACAACTGCTAAAACAGTTATCTCACTCGGGCTAATGCCTCCTGCCATCATGTGGCGGAAAAGAGCAACAGCCTCTACATGAAGACAAGCACGCGTATATCCATCAATCAGCCCGGTCCATGAGACAACATTCCTGCAGGGCATCTGATCAAACAGAAGCCTCGCATACTCAACCTCACCCCATCCAGCAAAGCCAGTGATCATCACATTCCACGAAACTATGTTCTTCACCGGCATTTCATCGAACGCCTTCCATGCTTCCACCAAGCACCCGGACACAACATACACATTGACAAGGGCGGTGTGCACGTAGGCATGGAACTCGAACCCCTTCTGGACCATGAGTGCATGGAGCTGCGCACCGGCTTGAGGCCACCCCAGACCCGCACAAGCCTTGAGCACGAACGCGAAGGCAAATGTGTCATCAGCCAGGTGCTGGCGCGCGTGCCTGAAGAGGTGCAGAGCTTCCAGGGGGAAAGGACCGTGGGAGTAGGCCTTGAGGAAGGCGCGCCACGGCGCGGGATTTCGGTCGAACACCTGGTGGGCAATAAACTGGGTGTGGATTTGGAGGAGTTGGCGCCTCCTGTCTTGGTGCATCAGGACGAGAGCAATTAGGTCGCGGAGGCGAGGGCTAGTGGCGGCACGGAATGGTGGGCTTCGTTGCCGCAAGAGGTGGGAGGGAGAGAGCCATGTCATGGAGGTAGTAGTCCCCAAACCTTCCTCTAAGCAAGCATCAAGTGCTAGAAATCAGTAAATCAGGGTCCCTGTGCACTACAAGTATGGTGACTTCGGCGACGCAACAAAGGGCGCGCGCACCTTGAGAGGCGTCGCGGAGGGTAGTAGATGCCGGCGTGGATGACCTCGCTGGTTGCGGGAACTGGTGCCAGAGCTGAGGGCCTCGAGGCTCGAGATCGACCTCAGGCCTCAGCTTCCTTCTCCAGCGCCGTACAATTCCAAGGCGGGACGAAAATTTACTCTTGGCCTTTGGGGCTTTGACAAGCGACGTTCACAATATAACAGCAGCCTGACACAGCGGGCGGTGGCCAGTTCCTCCTCGATGTTGCGCGCAGTCCTCGCGAGAGCGATCCCACTCTCCTCCGCCTCCTACGGGTTCCCCAAACCGCTAAGCCCTCTCCTCCGCATCGGTGGACCGCGCCTAGCCACTTCTTCCGGGGACCCCATCGCGTACGGTGGCATCGGCGGCGAAGATGACCCTTTCTCCTTCCCGGACCACTACCACAAGCAGCTCCCGCCCGATGCCGCCCGAGGGGTGGACGCCGTCGTAGCAGCTGCCGAGGCCACCGGCTCCAATGCCGCGGACGCCGCGCGGGCCCTCGACGGGTGCGGCGCCGAGGCGTCCGAGCCGCTCGTGGTGGCCGCGCTGTCGCGCCTCCGCAACAGCTGCGCCGCCGCTCATGCCGCGTTCCGGTGGGCCGCGGCGCAGCCCGGGTACGCGCCGGGGCGGCGCGCGTGCCACTCCATGCTCGCCATCCTCGCCAAGCACCGCCGCTTCGACGCCGCGCGCGCCCTGCTCGACGAAATGCGCCGTGCGTCGACGGCGTCTCCGGCCGCGGTACTCCTCCTCATCCGGCGCCACTGCGCCGCGAGGGACGTCGCGGGCGCCGTCGCTGCCTTCCGAGCGCTCCCGAGCTTCGGTTTCGACACTGGCGTCACCGAGTTCCATGGCCTCCTGAGCGCACTTTGCCGGTACAAGAACGTGCAGGACGCGGAGCATTTGCTGATATCCTGCGAGAAGGAGTTCCCCTTCGAGACCAAGAGCTTCAACATCGTCCTCAACGGGTGGTGTAACATTGTCTGCAGCTTGCGCGAGGCGAAGAGGTTTTGGAGCTCCATGGAGAGAAAGGGCATTGACAGGGATGTTGTGTCGTATGGGAGTATGATCTCGTGCTTCTCAAAAGCCAGGAGCCTCGACTCAGTCATGAAACTCTTTAACCGCATGAATGAGGCTGGGGTTGCTCCTGATCGGAAAGTGTACAATGCTATTGTGTTTGCACTAGCCAAGGGTCGGTGTGTGAAGGAGGCAAAGATGCTTGTCAGGACTATGGAGGAGAAGCAGGTTGCCCCAGACACAGCCACTTTTAACTCTCTCATTGGCCCTCTTTGTAAGGCTCGTCAGGTTCAGGAGGCAATGGAAATGTTTGATGCTATGTTAGAAAGGGGGCTGTCTCCTTCAGTAAGGACCTTCCATGCGTTGCTTAATGTGGCTAGGAACTCTACTGAAGTGTTTGATCTCTTGGATAAGATGAAACAGTTGCAGTGTGAGCCAGAGATGGACACTTACATTATGTTGATCAGAAAATTCTGCCGGTGGAGACAGCATGAGAGCGTGGAGAAGTTGTGGAGTGCAATGCCTGCAAATGGGCTGAGCCCTGACCGGAGCGCGTACATTGTGTTGATACATGGTTTATTCCTGAACGGAAGACTAGAGGAGGCAGCAAAGTATTATGAAGAGATGAAAAGTAAGGGCTTTTCGCCAGAGAAAAAGACTGAAGAAATGATAAGCGGCTTGGCTTGAAGGCAGAGAGCTTGCCAAGGCGTCAGTTAGTTCTAAGGGTGGTTCAGTGTCTCTCAAGCTTCCTAAAAAGTGACAAGTTTAAGGTTAGCCCTTAAGGGCAATCCATAAAAGAAATGAAACAAGATAGGAGGGCGCTTATTGTTATTCCTGAAGAACTGGTAAAAGTCCAAAGAGAAATTTTGCTGCTTAGGAAATGGGTGCTACTGTATGTTAGGCCTAGTTATTTTTCACTTTGTTGATAAGTTGAAAATTGGAATTACAATGCCAAGGCATGTCCAACTTGTTCAAACATACAAGTTGCATGTGATTTGCTGTATTTATTCACATTTACATTTTAGTCTGCACCCTGCACTGACTACATGCTCAATTATTGGCATACAAAACTTATCTTGAGGCATGGAGGGCTCATGCCTGCTGAATACTTCCATTAATGTCGAAGGGGCACTACAGTTTCATTTTGCAGAAGGAAATCAGGGAAAATGAGATTGAAAAGATTTTGCTGTCATATTTCTTGGATGCCCCAAAGCAAAGCTGCAGATACCATCCATCGATCCATTAGCCGGTAGATTCCAAGGAGATACTTGTGCTGAGCTACTTCCAAAATTGGACTGCCTGAGGACTAGGACATTGAGTGGGAAAGTGATCTTTGCCATTGTTCAGGAGTTAGGACTGGCACTGTGATGCTGGCCCCTAGCATTTAACTTGTAAGCAGTTTCCACTTTCCATCATGTTCATGCTTCCTGTCACTACATAAGAAGAGAAGAAATCTCTTATTGTTCATGAAGGTTAAATTTTCAGTTGGGATAATGACTTCTCGAGTATTCTAATGATAAAAAAAACCCATAATGACTCAAGAAGTTATGGACTTCCTTCACATTCACTGGACGGGGTTGGTTCCTAAGCTTCTACTTATTTGTTTAGTCATTCTCTTCTGTTCAGTTCTTTTCCTGCTATGCTACTTTGTGAAGCGACTCGTCACACTCGAACCGGCAGACGCTGATTGGGGGCACTTGTCCTGGGACAGCAGCAGAATTCATTATTTTGCTGTCCGACTTCTTTGACAGGATCCATAGTAGTATTAGGGTTTGTGTAGTAGTGTTTGTGAGGTTGCTAAATATGCAATAGCACAAGTTTAGTACCATTTGTTAGGTATTGTAGTTAGGGATGAAAACCGTAACTGAAAATCTTGTTTACTGGGCTTGTTTCCATGTCGTTCTCATAAAGGTGATACCGTTTCTGATTATTACTGTAGATAAATTTGAATTTTCTAATTTCTTTCAGTACCAGTATTTTAGTTGCCATTGAATAGTTAAATTCTGAAATCAGGGAAATTTCCGACTGACTGTCAATCACTTCCGTATAGATATCATTACAGACCGTATCCGACCCGCTTTCATCCTTAATTACGGTACCATCTAGTGGCACAATATTTGTTATGAGGACCAGAGGCATGGAATTTATTTAGGTGGAATCGGGGTATTAAATGGGCAAGGGCCGGGTCGGCACCCCCTTGATGACGCGCCGTGTCGTGATCTGGACATGGGCCACGTTTGCTTCGCTGAAAAAACAAGCCGAAACACTGTTCCGGCTGATTTGTCGTGAGAGAAAAATACTATTCCGGCTGAAAAAATAAGTTGAAAAGTACGGATTATAAGAGAAGCGAACAGGGCCATGGTGTCAAGTGAGCAAGGATCGGATCGTCGCTTCCTTAGTGGCGCGCTACGTCGGCGCCCGGGAGTAGTGAAAAATGAGCAAGGATCTTCACATTTGAGTCGACGGGTGCGAAGGGTAAGGAAGCTAGTCAAACCAACTAGGATCCGTTTAGATAGTTGGAATGTAGGGTCGCTTACAGGTAAGTTAAGAGAATTAGTTGATACCGCGACTAGGAGGCGTGTAAATATATTATACGTTCAAGAGACTAAATGAAAGGGTCAGAAGGCGAAAGAGGTGGACAATACATGTTACATGTTTCAAGCTTTGGTACACAGGGACAGTCGCGAATAGAAATGGAGTAGAAGTTTTGATTGATAAGAGCCTCAAGAATGGTGTGGTGGGAGTGAGAAGACAAGGAGATAGGATTATCTTAGTCAAGATTGTCGTTGGTGATATAGTCTTGAACGTAGTTAGTGCATATGCCCTCAAATAGGCCTCGACGAGAGTGCTAAGAGACAGTTCTAGGAAGACTTAGATGGCTTGATTAGAGCTGTACTTAGTAGTGAGAAGTTTTTTATAGGAGGAGATCTTAATGGGCATGTAGGTACTACAAGCGCAGGTTTTGAGGCAGTTCATGGAGGTTTTGTGTATGGTAGTAGGAATCAGGAGGGGGAGGAAGTTCTGGACTTCGCGGTAGCTTTTGACCTGATGATAACCAACACTTTCTTTAGAAAGAGATAATCTCATCTAGTGACCTTCAGTAGCGGACAACACTCTAGCCAGATTGCCTTTGTCCTCGCAAGAAGAAATGACAAATGAGCATGCTTGGGTTGCAAGGTGATACCAGTGGAGTGTGTTGTTTCTCAACATAAGCTTTTAGTGGCAGACTTTCGTTTTCAGGTGCGTGTCTGTAGGGATAAATAAGCTAAGATTGAAAGAACAAAGTGGTGGAAACTGAAAGGGGAGATGTCAGAGGTATTCAGAGAAAGGGTTATCAAAGTGGGTTCTTGGAAGGAAGAAGAGGACATAAACAATATATGGGAGAAGATAGCAACCAACATTCAAAAAGTGGCCTCAGAGATGTGTGGAGTAACCAAACGAAGTGGAGGCGAGGCTAAAGATACTTGGTGGTGGAACGAGGAAGTCCAAATGGCTATTATGGAGAAGAAAGAATGTTATAGAAGCTTGTACCATGACAGGAGTGTGGATAACATAGAGAAGTACAAGGTGGCAAAGAAGACTGCAAAGCGAGCTGTAAGTGCGGCAAAGGGTAGAGCGTACGAGGATCTTTACCAATATTTGGGTACGAAGGAAGGAGAGAAGGACATTTATAGGATGACTAGGGTTCATAAAAGAAAGACAAGGGACTTCAACCAAGTTAAGTGCATTAAGGATGAAAGAGAGCATCTCTTGGTGAAAGAGGATAAGATCCGACATCGATGGCAAGAGTATTTTGACAAATTATTTAATGATGAGAATACAGACACAACCTTTCAGTTGGATGACTCTTTTGATGACACCAATAGGCGTTTTGTGCGGAGAATTCAAGAATCTGAGATCAGAGAGACGTTGAAAAGGATGAAAGGAGGTATGACGATGGGACCGGATGGTATCCCAATTGAGGTGTGGAGATGCCTCGGAGACATAGCTATAGTATGGCTAACCAAGCTGTTCAACCATATTTTTCGATCGAACAAGATACCTGACGAGTGGAGAAGTATATTGGTACCGATCTACAAGAATAAAGGGGATATTCAAAGTTGTACTAATTATCGGGGAATTAAATTGATGAGCCATACTATGAAGCTATAGGATAGAGTTATCGAGCATCGTTTGAGAGCAATAACGCGGGTCTCTATGAACCAATTTGGTTTTATGCCCGGAAGATCAACCATGGAAACCATTTTCTTAATAAGACAAGTTATGGAGCGGTACAGGGATAAGAAGAAGAACCTATATATGGTTTTTATTGACTTGGAGAAGGGCGTACCCAATGCAGAAAGCTCCCGCTCTGTGCGGGGTCTAGGGAAGGGTGTCAGTGGCAAGCCTTACCCTCGCTTGTGCAATGCGAGGAGACCGCGACTCGAACCGGGACCTTCCGGTCACAGACGGTAAGACTCTACCGCTTGCACCAGGCCCGCTTACACATGGTTTTTATTGAAGGCTTAATATAAAATAACAAGGAATATTATGTGGTGGGCTTTGGATAAACATAAAGTTCCAACGAAGTACGTCGAGCTCATTAAGGACATGTACAACAATGTTGTGACTAGTGTTCGAATAAGTGATGGAGACATGGATGACTTCCCGATTAGGATAGGACTACATCAAGGGTCAGCTTTGAGCCCTTATCTGTTTGCCTTAGTGATGGATGATGTCACAAAGAACATACAAGGGGACATCCCTTGGTGTATGCTTTTCCGCGGACGATGTAGTGCTAGTTGATGAAAGCCGGACAGGAGTGAATCAGAAACTGGAGTTATGGCGGGAGACTTTGGCGTCCAAAAGTTTTAGACTCAGTAGAACTAAAACTGAGTATATGAGATGTGACTTCGGCACTACTACTCGGGAAGAAGAAGATATTAGTTTGGAAGGTCAAATAGTGCCTAGGAAGGATACGTTTTGATATTTAGGATCAATGCTACAGAGAGACGGGGATATTGATGAAGATGTTAACCATACAATCAAAGCAGAGTGGATGAAGTGGCGCCAAGCATCTAGTGTCCTATGTGACAAAAGAGTACCACATAAGCTAAAAGTCAAGTTTTATAGGATGATGATTAGACCTGCTATGTTGTATGGTGCAGAATGTTGGCCTACTAAAAGACGACATGTTCAACAGATAAGTGTCGCGAAAATACGTATATTGCGTTGATTTACGGTCATACAAGAAGGGATCGAGTTCGGAACGATGATATACGCGATAGATTAGGGGTAGCACCAATTGAAGAAAAGTCCAACACCGGTTGAGATGGTTTGGACATGTCCAACGGAGACCTCCAGAGGCACCGGTGCGTAGTGGAATCCTAAGCTAATAACGTGAAGAGAGAGAGAGAAGACCGAAGTTGACTTGGATAGAGGCAATAAAAGGAGACTTGAAATGATGAAATATACCCAAAGACTTAGCCTTAGATAAGAGTGCTTAGAAAACAGCTATTCACGTGTGCTAAACCTTGATGACTTCTGCTGTGTTTTAACTCTAGCCTGCCTCAACTTGTTTGGAACTTAAATGCTTTGTTGTTGTTGTTGTTGTGGAATCGGGGATGTAGGCGGACCTGATGACTAAGAAATTTCGTGCCTCCATACCATGCCCAAATTCCTCATAGTATTGCCATTTGTGAATCTATATCTATACTATAAAGAAGCGAAGAAATAGAAAATACTTTTCACCCATAATTTTCTTATCCACCTAATATCTGAACCGTTGATGGCTTGGCCCCTTTTAATCTAATGGTACCTGGTAATTCGAGAGTGGACCCGTACACGTTAGTCTACGATTCTGGCCTCGACGTGTTTTTTTTCACCGACGGCGGCGCTTACCCGGCAAGTTGGGTATGCTGTACAGCCTCATCGACCACCCGGTCTTGGTGACTTCCTACCATCCAGCCTAGACTTTCAGTACCCTCGCTTCCTCTTTTGGTATAATGATACCTGTGTTTTTTTTATTGGATGAGGTTCCTGTGCGATGCAGGCCAAATAGAATGGGGTGACGCAGGTGCTGTTAGTGGTTGACCTGCAGAGGATGCCGGGGCTCAGCAGCAAGTGACTCATGCTACAGATCAACGTCTCGCAGCAAGTGAGTTGATTTGATTCTTGATGATGATGATTGCCACGATCAAGTGCTGACCGTTCGATGCTTGTCTACTGCAGGTTTTGTTGTCTACTTCGACATGATTTGTGCCAGGTAACTAATAATCTGCTCATTCGCATCCAAAATTCTAGACATTATTTATCAATATGGTTGATAGTGCAACAGGTTATTTTGTCTATTATTGTTGTTGAACTTTGTTAAATGCTATGTGTGGGGTTTCAAAGAATAATAAAAATCTACACACCAACTTCATGATTCCATCTGATCAAATTGAACTCAGTATGTTTCTATGACTAGGAAACCAGAGTCTTAGTATGTCTTAGCAAGGTTGGAAAACATTATTTTACAAGGCAAAAGATCTACCCGAGCTGCCCTTCCTGCTAGCCTTCAGTTTTTGCCTGTGACTCTGCGATTTTAGATCTACTCACTTGAGATTTAATGTAAAAAAGAACTCGCCATGGAGCAGTGATATACAATGTCTGCTACATGGTAGCTGTGCTAATTTAACCAAATCTACCTTGTCATTCCATGCTTTGATTAGTTTATTCTTCAGGAGAGGAAAAATTGATTACCGATTTTTGTCAGTTCAGCTGAAACTCAAATGCCGAAGTGAACCATAGAGGGCTTCCTTCTCTGATGTTGACTGTGTCTCATTCTTGGGATTTGCTATGTCTAGGATCAGATTGGGCCATGTGTTGAGGGATTTAGATGGGTTAATCTTTAGTTGAGTTTATTTTATTCGGTAAACTGTCATGGACAAATGATATTGACAGGAACTGGAATTGGATCAGGAGCAGAAGAGCAAGGTCGACGGGTGATGCATGCCTTCAGGCATCACCTGCGCAAGGAGATGCTCCTTGGGCCAACAAAATTGCTCTGACGGCATGGGGATAAGCTGGTAAAGTTTTTATTTAATTATTATGATCTAATGTAGTCAATGGAGTAGACTTTCAGATTAAAATCCGTAAAACAAATTACTTTATCTTTCCACTTTGCAGCTATTATACTCTGCACTTGCCATTTACTAACTTGCTTGTTACGTTTTATAGGGAAACACTACTATGATTGCTTACAAACTGTTTGGTTAATTGCCTAAGAGAGTTTGTGTTTGCAAACAACTGAATAAGTTTCTGTGCACTAAAAATAAGGAAATTGTGTGTTTAAATTGTCACCCAAGATTTATGACTATTTCCTTTCCCTAAATTTAACTATCAACTAATTATAATGTGTCTTACATGTATATTATTATTTAATCATTGAGCATTTTTCCTGCATCTCTGAATAAAGGCTCTCTTGGCTGTTGTCCTTGCAAATTGTAATTTCCCTAGCTCCCTTGATTGATGTGTCAAGCAAGTTTCTATGCTTCACAAACCATAATAATAACACCATTCATTGTTTTGGAGATCTAAATCAAGTGACTGCAGTTCAATGTCATTGTGGTGTTCAACAATGTGATGTGCTACATAGAAAACTGCAATTAAAATTATATATTGCTTGTCAAAGTTCTAGGATGTGCTGGCATTTTTTTTTACAAAGCACAGAAGGGGAAAAGACCTCCCCACCTGATATATTGCACCGAGTCAGCAAAGAGCTTGCTGACTAACTTATGAATAAGTTTTACAAAGCAATAGGAGGGTACTCTATGACAGAACAAAATTCCGATTAAAGATGGTGAAACAATAATCCCTATTGAAGGAAGGTTCAGTTGAGTGGCAAATTGATATCCATAACGCAACAGGGTGTAATAGTCAATAAAGATATAAATTCACACATTGGCAATGGAGCTTTTCATAGGAAGAACTTCCAGCTTTATGCTCTCCTTTTAATTTCCTGCTAATCTTCATAGGCTAGATATGATACTGTTCTATTCTATATACTATCCTACATATTATAGTTCTTTTTTATCCTATGGGCTAAAAACAGTAATTTCAGTGAGCAAACCCTGATGGAAAAAAACAGCTTCAAGTACAAGTCTTTTGGTAACTTCCAAGCTTCTACAGGATTTCTTTAGTAAATTAAGTAAAGATTATTTTGATATATCTGAATTTTTTTACAGGATGACAATCTTTATTTTTGTCCATATTTTAGAGAGATATTTGAAGTGTGGTATGAGGATGTGAGGAGAAGTAGAAGGGGAATGGAAAGATTCTGAGATTATACTAAGCATCCCAGTACACAAGGAAGACAGACTGATGGCAAGCTGCACTGTCAAGTGTCAACATACTACGATCACAAGCTTTGCAAGTGGTTTGATGTGGGAGATGTAGATATTAGCTCAGAACTGATAAATTTTCATGTCATTCATGCTTTAGTAGTTTGTAACGTAGCTCAGCAACTTGGTAGTTGATTCTAGATCAGGGTATTGTCAAATTGTTTTACAGTATTCTCAGTTGTATAGATGGATGTGGTTGCCAATTTGGCACCGGTAGCTGAGTAATGGAATTTTCCACTTAAAAAAAGCTAGAATTTTAATGCCATCTATAATTCCTCCTTTATGAATGTGTTTTATTTTGATACTCACGTGCGTGTCGCACGTGCATGTTCACTAGTTACTACAAAGCCTGGAACGGGTGCGTGTATTCTAACAGATTTGTGTTTAGCCGTTTTTAGTTTGTGTTTTGTGTGGATTCTACCCCGGCTCAACCCAGCCTTTCCCCGTCACCCAAACCTGGAAAACAAGAGTCTTTTCCCTGTGTTCCCTGTATGCTATTATAAAAGTTTCAAATTACATACGTGTCATTAAAAAAGTTGAGCAGACACAGGTGCCATTGATTCAAACTTTTTTGCCCTCCACATTACTCCGTCCACTTTTACCTCTAACAGTATCAAGTTGTGGTGAAAAAAAAGTATAAATGCCCTCAAGTCTAGATGATGTGCAAAAGTTCATTGCTGGTACAAGCGAAAAGTTCATTGCTGGTACAAGTGTATGGGGTCTTTTAATCTTGGCCACCGCTCTAGAGATGAACGGTGAAGGTTTATCGCTAGTATAAGTGTATTTTAAGTATTTTGAAATTATTTTTCTAAAGGAAAACGATCGTATAAGGTTTGAGCATGACCTCACGGTGAGGTCATCAAGCTAGATTGGTTTCATCATTGTTGCAGGAGTGACATATCTTGTGGTGCAGAAACATACGGCTTGATTGGTTTCTGTCTCGTCCCGGCCTACTGTAGTTCGTATCTGAGAGCCTGACCCACGCTGTACTGGCTCAAAGAATACAAACGCGTACTTTAACCGAACTTCCAACACTTCGTAGCTCATGCAGGGACATGGGCTGATGGACTGGTATACATAATCAGTACGTATTGGGCAGCCCTTTTGCTTCTTATCTTATTAATTAGAAACTGTTGATGAGTCACCACGAACCACCACCACCAGTGACACATTGGCCCCGAAGTTTTCCATATGATGATCTGATCCGTGTCCACAAGAGTTTCTTTAGTTAACGCAAACCCCAAGGAGTTGACCCATACAGTGCATAGCTCAAATCTCTATTAAGCAAGGCTTCGTTTCCAGTAAGAGGTGCCATCGATCCACAGCAGGCTCCTACATTCATCTCACACTGCCAGGACGAAATAATGGCAATGAAGGTGTATGGGCCAGCAATGTCGACGAACGTGGCACGCGTTCTTGTCTGCCTGGAGGAGGTCGGCGCCGAATACGAGGTAGTCCCCGTCGACATGACCACCGGCGAGCACAAGAGCCCGGCGCATGATGCCCGCAACGTACTCCGTCCAACTCTTCTCTATTATCTCCCTGATCCTCCCGATTAATGATATCTGGTATCTGGTGTCCGTTTCTCATATATTGTTACTCTTTCTTTACTTGATTTTGCAGCCCTTCGGTCAGGTCCCAGTTTTCCAGGATGGCGATCTGATTCTTTACGGTGAGATTGTAACAAACAATGCTCGTTTTTTGCTTGGTATGATCCAATATTATTGAAATAGATTCTCTCTTTTTTTTCCAAAGGAAAAATGATAGATAGATTTTCCTTTTACCTGTGTCATTGCTTTGCATTATATAAAAGTTTTTTTCTGGCAAAAAAATATAAAGTTTTTTTTAAGGAAAATTACGAGAACCGTTTTGGTTGCCTCTACATATGCATAACGTAAGAGCATCTCTAAGAGTCTTTCCAAATCTCACTCTCTAAATTATTATTTGAAGAGTCATTTACATAAAATCGTTTTTTATATCTTTTCACTCTCCAATAATTTTTCTATATCTCATGCGCCCTCTAGAGGGTCATTCTCGTCTTCTATTTTTGGCTAGCGAGAAATCCAGAAAATAAGATGGCTATATTTGGATATCCATTTAGATGAGCTGTTGGAGGATACTTTTTCACCAAAATCTCTATTCCTCATATTTAAAAAGGATTTAGAGAGTCTCTTGGAATTACTCGAAGGAAGGTAGCGGAAATCACATCGAATGCAATGCCTTATCTACCGTGTGTTGATAAAAACAATTGTATTTAGCGCGCCTCAAGCCTCCTTCCTCGGGACCTACCCCTCACCATCATTTGAGAGTCATAAGGACTCATTCCGGTAGTGCGAAATCTGTTGCACTGTCTTCACTGCCAAGCTCTAGTAATAGAAAATAAAATCAACTATCTAATTGAGCATCAATCCTAAGTAATGGAGCGAGGTAGCTATGTTTAAAGAACGATGTGGTGAGGAAGTCAAGAAAGGCTGCTGTGCTGTGGTTAAACAAGCTCGTTGCATTCTTCCCTTTATACGTATCTATATAATATATAATAATTGCACACATATGACAATTTATTAGTACATACTCCATACGTACGTATATCTTAACAGAGTCCCGTGCAATTTCAAAGTACATCCTTCGCAAAGGCGGGTCGGATCTCCTTCGAGAAAGCAACCTTGCCGAGTCAGCAATGGTGGACGTTTGGCTGAAAGTCGAGTCGGGGCACTTCAGCAGCACCATGTCGCCCATCATCTTCCAGTGCTTGGTCGTCCCCTTCCTAGGTGGCGAAACCGACACGAAAATCGTCCAGGAGAATCTGGAGAAGCTCAAGACGGCCCTAGGGGTTTACGAGGCACGTCTGTCCAGGTTCAAGTACTTAGCCGGAGACTTTGTTAGCCTAGCGGATATCAGCCATTTCCCAGCGGCTTACTACCTGCTTGGCGGGTCCCACACGTCAGTGCTTGATGCATATCCACATGTCAAGGCTTGGCTCGCTGAGGTAATGGACAGGCCGAGCGTGAAGAAGGTCGTAGAGCTTATGAAGCTGCCATCAGCTTGACGCCCAGACCGCATGAAGCAATACTGCTTGGGTGTGTGTTCAGAGTCTACGTGATGTATTTGCGTTTTTCGTTTATCTTCTTGCAAATCGCCGCGGTGTCCAGAACAATAGTGTCAGTTGAATAAATGAACAACATGTTTACACTATGTAAAGAAAAACACATCACAGATCCCCGTTTAGGCATATCACGTCTGTAATAAGGGCTTATTACAGACGCGCAAAAGCGCATTTGTAATAAGCATGTACTACAGACACGTATTGCTAACACGCGACTGTGACATACAAATACTAGTGGGAGTAAAGACACCTCTGTAGTAACCCCTTCCCAGAAATGCGTGTTACGAACACGTCTGTAGTAACCCCTTACCAGAGACGCGTGTTACAAACACACGTCTGTGAAAAGGTTAACACGTTTGTAGAAACTTTATGCTATAGACACATGTTTTTATCACGTGTCTGTAGTAAGAATCATACTGCAGACGGTATTTATAAATACGTCTGTCGTAAGAACCATACTGTAGAATCATACTACAGACGTGTTTATATGAAGCACACTACAAACTCATGTTCTTAATACGCGTATGTAGTAAGAAGCACACTACAGACGCCTCTAGTCTACACACGTATGTAGTATTTTCCTTACTACCTACAGATCTCACAAATATAACACAAATGACATCAGATCACTTCACAAATGACATATATACACATCTGTCATACTACATTGTTCATCACACAAACACAGATCAATAGTACTTTATTTGTTCATCAACACAGATCACATGTGTAGCTCCAAACTCACACAGCTCCAAACTTACACAGCACATGTGTTAAGCAGCAGTGTACCTCATCACACAGCATGAACATGTATGCTTCCAATGCATCTAATCTTATTCATCACTAGTGGACATGCACATGTGGCACGCACGTGGAGGAGTAACAATAAATTTTCAAGGATATTTCTAAAATGCATGATGATACAATTACATTGCCCAAATATTAGCTTTGGGGATAGTTCGTTATTTATTGACCTATATATATGGAGAGAGTGCAATTTCTCCATCATCCTCACTTGTCCGCTACCGCCCCCCAGCCAACTGGGCCTTCGGACCTGCAAGACAACCAGATGACATATATTTCAAACTAAAAAGCTAGATGAGTCTAATTAACTATTCTCGATAAATACTTGAGACATTTCTTCCATGTAAGATGTTTGTGCGCAATTGTGTTGTATACAATGGCAAATTTTTCTCTGTCCCAGCAATAGTATACAAAGAATTGTTTCATATACTGTTCAATTTAGAGAAAACAGAGATCCCACCTCAATTTCATTGTCATTAACGAATCACTTCACACCAAGAAAATGCAGAGAAATTGTATTCATGTGGTTAAGTTAGCAAAGCAAAAGCATGATTAGAAACTATAAGATGCACTGCTAGTGCTAGAAATACCTCTGGAAGATGAGACAACAGAAAAAGGCAGTACAAGAGGGTCGGGAAGGTTGTATCATCGACTTAATAAATACATTAATACATAATTGAGCTAGGCCTAAATACGTTTATTACAAGTGTGACCCCCATATCATAACATTTTACACAGAAAAAGAGACAACAGGAACGAGAACATCAACATACTGGAACTCCCCGAATGCCTGTGTGATTCAAAGTGTTTCAATCCCTCCTTCAAGAATTTTAAAATGTCCATCTATTAGACTAATATGATGGCATGACTGATCACACAACAGATATATTACCGCCAAGCATCTCATCAAGTGCCTGGCTCCTGGTTGTAATCTGAACAACAGAGTTCCACTTCAAATAAGCTAAAATAAATCAAACAGCCTTAAAGGACAATGCATATGAGGAGTAATTAAAAGTGCTCGACCAGATTCAGTAACTAATCAACATTTGTCAGTTAGTCTACATACTACAAGAAGTCAAGCATTGGTTATCACTCATCAGACACACCAAACCGATTTTCTTACCTTAAGAAGGAGATCATTTCATGTCATTTAAGATACTACGATTTTCATGCTTAGATCATGAAATGTATGTTCTCAAATTAATTGATATTCATCAATGATTTTTTTTATAAACAAGTGCGTGCTGCACATGCATGTCTATTATCATATATAAATTATTATGAACCTTGCCAATAGAAATTAGGAATATTTTATATGATATAGGAATACAGTTGCTAAACATTACTCATCCATCTTCATATATTTCTTTTATAGACACGTGGAGAAGACAGCGGAGACTGGTGATTCACGTGAAAGTCATACTCTGGCGGTGATGTCCGGTGGATGAACCCTTTCAGCGCGATCAACAATGAGGCTCTAGAAAATGACCATGCAACTATGCAAGCACTACAACAGAAAATGATTCAACTTTCAGAATTCTATATACCAAACAAACAGTGACCATATCCTGCGTGATGACCTCAAAAGGGTTCCTGTTTGAATTCTGATCAACTCCTTCACTGTGATAAAATTTGTCATCATGTTTATTTTCCTGACACTAAAATGCAGAAGATGAAAATAAATTAACAGACAAGGCACTCAAAACAATCACTATCTATATAGTAAATAAGGTTTCAGTGTTCATAGTTGTGCTTACCAAACAAGAACTAACCATATCGTGCGTGGCACCATGGTTCAAAATCAGAAGAAATGAACAGAAGGCACCTACAAGTCGCATTAAGGTTTCAGTTTCAACAATGTCGCATAGCAAACAAACACTACGCAGATCGTGTATGGCGACCTCGACTGGATCTCATTACACAAATAGCATTAAAGTTTCAGTTTCAACAATGTTGCATAGCAAACAAACACTAACCAGATCGTGTATGGCGACCTCAACAGGATTTCTGTCTAAATTTTCATCAATTTTCTCTTCATGTTTTCCTCAAAAAAAAAATCTCTCCAGGTTTGGTTTGTGGTTCTGAAACACTTTTTTTTTGCCCAAATCAAGCCATCTAAATAATCACCGTGCATGCAGAATACAATATTAATGTATATGTCGGTTCATAGCAATTCATTATTATCCCCAAGAACCTGTCAGACCTTCAGCTAGCTTCTAATGGCCCTGATGGGTGGCACAGTCAACGACCAGCGGGCCGGGACGTTGCCACACGTACGCACCTCTGCCGCGTCGCCATACATGGCGCGGCAGCGTTGTTTCGCCGCGCTCTGAAAATAGGCGTGGTCAAAAGTGTTACTTTTGAAGAAAAAAAATAAACAGTGTTAGAATTAAAAATAATTTTAAAAAGTGTTAAAAATAAAAAAAAATCCCTAAAGATGCAAATACTACAACAACAAGCAAGGCCTAGATGTACGTGCGCACGCATGCACGTACAGGCCATGCAGGCACGTACGCTGTGCGGGCGGCCGAGAGTGCGGCGCCGTGCACATGCGCGTACAGGCTACGCATCTACGTACAAGGAAGATGCAAGCAAGGCCAAGTGAAGTCTTCATCAACAAAACCACCTCAACAACTCCACGTGTTCTCAAGTTCCACGACGTACCACGACGATGCTGATCGTCGTGGCGTGAGGAGACGGAGCATGCTCGCTGGCGGGCTTCGGCTTGCCGGTGTCAGACATGCCCGCGACGTGGAGCTAGAGGCTGAGCTGCGAAGGCGGCCGCCAGGACAAGAACCTGAAGGTGCAAATACTACACCATGCAAGCGATGTCAAGATGCAAACCATTGTTTTTGAGGCGCTGCTGCGGCGACGCGCGGCGCGTACCCCTTCACAACGCCTATGCGTTTATGGCGGACGCCTATGCGACGCCATACGATCATCTTAATATATAATAATACTAAAATTCAGAATCAAATTATACATTAATATTGTCAAATCTTAGCATGTAATACCATAATAAATAATGTTACCAGAGTGCTAGTGCACAACGTAAAGTAGCAAAATAGCAAATTTGAAATCTCTCATCACTCAATAGCCACAAATTAGTCTCTAATATCATAACATAACTTAATGACTAGTGCTGCAGGGAAAGAAACAGAGGAAAGAAACAGAGGAAGAGAAAGAAACAGAGGAAGAGGAGGGAAGCAGGGCTGCAGAGGAGACTAGAGAGGAGGCAGGGAGCATACGAGGTGGACGGGTAGACAGTTGACGGAGGCGGGCGAGCAGGTGCGGACGGGCAGGAGCTGCAGGTGCGGTGCGGACGGACCCCTGGTGGACTCGAGCAGCCAGGAGGAGATGCAGGGGCAGACTCGCGGGAGGTGCGCGCGGCCGGTGGACTCGAGCAAGGAGCAGCAAGCCTCCGCCTCCGCCTCTGCCGCCAAGAAGCAGGGCCGCCGCCGCCGCCTCCTCTTTTCCTCTCCTCTCTCCGTGAAGCTGCAGCGGGCCGCACCTGTGGTAAAAGCCCTCGAGCAGGAGGTTTGCTGCGCGCAGCAGCATATATGCGGTCAATTCCGCCCTTTTTCCTTCTAGCTGGACGCGACGCGCGCGATCGATTCCGCCGATTTTCATTGCGTCCGCTCGATTACCCGCCCGATTCCATCTTCCTCTCGACTTGCTGCTCCGGCGTCCGCCACAGGCCTCTAGGCGCTCGCCCGACGCCTTTCCACGCCTAATCTCATATGGCGGACGCCATACGCACGCATGCCGTGGCGACCCCGACGCCCAGCACCCTGGGCACGCCTTGTCGCCTAGGCGACGCCTCAAAAACAATGATGCAAACAAGGCCAAGACAGGCCTGGCCGCCAGGGGCGTGGCGCCGTGATGATGCATCTACCACGACGGGCACAAGTCTTCATCAACTTCTACAAGTACAACCCCACGTGATCAAGTTACACGACGTGCCACGACCATGCTGCCGAAGAAGTCCGAGGCGATCCAAGCTACACCAACCATGCAAGTGCGACTGTGATGACACCATGCGGCGTTCGACACCGACAAGGCGAACGACACAGGTGGGTATGGTTGATATTCCAACTATGTTGTACCGGCTCATGGACCGACGAGGCCCTCACGCTGACGCCATCCACATCTACACTAACACCATGCATGGAGACGTGAAGCGAAGATTGAAGATGATGACCACATCTGCTTAATCGAAGGTGCTATATGAGCTTGACTCGCAAGGGTAATTAATTAAGAGCTTTCCGAGGTCCCAGGAACCATGAAGACCACATTGCCCAACCTAGGGGATAATACCAAAACGAAACAATCCTTTCCTTTTTCTGATCATCGTCCAAGTCAGATCGCCACCAACAGGCTAGGGAGAGGGACCTTTATTTATATTTCCTTTAAATGTAAATAAAGTGTGTTCCCTCCTTTTTCTTTTATTTATGTACTCAGTACACCGGCGCGTCCGTGTATTTATTTTTATTGTGGCAGAGAAATATGATATTTTTCTGTCCAAACATTATTTTATAAACAATGATTAGTGTCTGATCCGTTTATCTCTCTCCCCATGTATAGTACAGGGAGCGCGGTGCGTGCGTAGAGTGTTAGGGAGACATCGTGTGGTTTTGCTTCTGCGTCACCAGAGAAGGGAGCCATTCTCAACGCGTGTCAGCAAAGGGAATAGGGAGGAAGCACGGCGTGTAAAATCAGTAGGTGCTGCTGACCAATCGAGGGCTGGCACGGATTCATTCCGTCCCGGTGCCACTGCCATGCCATATAAGCACTTCATGAACGTTGATCTCGTTACAGATGCAGAATTTTGTGCTATCTTTTCCTCTGGATGATGCATCATGCACCACTGCATATTTCTTTTCTTTTGTTTCACGTTTATTGCAACCGATTTAGACATAGCAGGACAGCAACCTTTCTGGTAGTGTATTACTACTTTGCATGTGCACATGAAGAATCTAACGACAATAACACGTTGGATTTGAAGCTGGGACTGGCTGCCGCCAGCCTGCTACTATTAATCAAAATGGTGATTATTAATCGGTTTGTTCTGACAATAACTCACCTGATATCTGAAGGACTGAACCTAAACCTAATCAAATCTATCAAACACTCTTTTGGTTGGCACCTTGTGGCTATCCTGTGGCTAGCTTCAATAATAATGCCTTGCTGATAACATGGTCTAAGTCAACGAGCTTATCCTCGTACGGTCTGAAGACCATTGTACCATATTCTTAGATATATGCCGATGCTGATTGCAAGTGGCTCGTTGAAGTATATCTTCTCATACGCCTGAACTTTTCTGATATATACAACTGCAGAATTTGGGGTTATCTTGCAACCAGATGCAAGTTGATTTAAACCGTGCAGATGATAGATATAGATACAGACGCATTTTCTGGAGGAAAACGATACTCGATACCACTTCCTGTGTGCGAGTGGCAGGCATACGTCAGTGCTTGTATTCATGTCATTTTCATGGTACGAATCTAATCTACCAGGCATATGGGTCATGACGTGGTGAGAATTGATAAGGCTAGCGTTTTTCATTTGAGGAACGTAACAGTCCAGACTTCGAGAAATAGATTTGGTTGGTTCACAATATGACTTCATCCCATTGTAGAATTATACGTACGATTTTAGCTACCCATCCACTTGATGTTACTCCTACCATTTTATCATCTTTGAAAACTGTACGAATGTATCAGAGAAAGATCAAATGTCCTAGATCAATTGCGGTTCAGACCGACCATATAAGATATGAGAACTGTAATTTTGTATCAAGTAGTCCAAAGGGAGATGCAATTTTTTTGGTATATTACCAAACACATCTAACAATCTAACAAATGAATAAACGTTACAAGCCTACAGCAACAGTTGCAGAATTCATACCCTTCCAAATTTTAAACCTGCTGTTTCTAGTCCAGTCAAACGACTCCTATGCCCCCTTATTTACAAGGGCATGAGCATCTCTTCCCCTTCCATCTCAACAACTCTCAGAAGTCAGAACGGTGGCAGGATTGTCTGCCACATCTTCATCGACGGCGAGCTCATGGACTGCAGGTAGCCATGGCCTTGCCCAGCCACCAGGTTCACCGTCTGGACCGGGTTCGGACTCACCATATGTGCCATGTTGTAGGACGCCTGCAGATCATCCAGATTCAGGTCGGTGAACCAGTCGTTGTCCTCCTTCACCGTCACGGTGCCAATGCCGTTCCTCGTGGTCATGGCCTGCCCCTGCACCATGTCACCGAAGCTATTCTGCATCATGCCGGAAGCGTTGTCGATGTCCGAGTCGTGCGTCTGGAAGCTGTCAGACATGGAATCCTCCGCCGCGCTCTGCCGGTGCTGGTGCGCCGCCGCCGCTTCCGGCTCCTCCACCTTCACCTTCTCCCAGTTGTTCTTCTTGTTGTACAGCCGGCACAGCACCCACTCGTCCAGCTGCAAGAACAACGCAAAGAGACATGAGCACCATGGCTCGCCATGGAATGCAACCGGCGGGATGGAACGGCCACACACACGCACACACCTTCTGCGAGCCCTTCTTGCCCGGTGCTCGGTCCGCGTCGGCGAGGCGGTACTCGTGCATGATCCAGTCTGTCTTGACGCCCCTGGGCGCCTTGCCGGAGTAGAACACGAGCGCCTTCTTGATCCCCGCCACCCTGCCGCTGCCCTTGGGCACGATCGGCTTGTCGGCCCCCGTCGCCTTCCAGTACCCACTCCCGGCGGCGCGGTTGGGGCGCGAGCCGTTCGGGTACTTGCGGTCCCGCGGCGTGAAGAAGTACCATTCCTTGCGGCCGAACAGCGCCTTCTCTGAAGGATCAGAGCAGCACAGAACCGAGGTCAAAAATGCCATCCAGGATTTGGATTTGGATGAATGGATCCACGACAGAATTAAAGATTGTCTTTTTAGTAAAAAAAAAGAAGATATTTTGTTGATAAATAAATAAAAAGAGGGAAAGAACAGAGGAAAGCAGAGCAAGAAGACGCCGGAACAGGGGAAGAAGGGGCACGCACCGGGCAGATCCCACGGATCGACCTTGTAAAGATCGACCTCCGCGATGATGGGCACGGGCAGCTGCTGCCGCGCCACCTTCCTGCAGAGGTAGTACACCACGAGCTCCTCGTCGGTGGGGTGGAACCGGAACCCCGGCGGCAGGTTGAGCTCCGCCTCGGCGTCCCTGCGCCCGCTCCCCTCGGCCGCCACCATTGCCATCCTCTTCCTCTTGACAGAAATTCCCAACGGCTGGATAGATGGGGTTGCTCGCTCGAACCAGGTTCCAGAGACCGCGTCTGCTCCCTCGTGCTCGGTTTGGTTCGAAAGGCGTCTGGCTGGCAGGCAGCCGCTAGGAGAGATAAATAATCCTCGTTGCCCGTGAGCTGTTTCCTTGGCGACCAAGCCGGTTCGGCGCGTTTATATGGGCTGCGCGGCGCAGCCCAGCTCGTGCCGCCTCGCGTGGGCCCGGCGTGTCCCCGCCCCCGCCTCGTGCCTTCGTGGGCTGGCTCCGGATGAGGATGGGCGACGCTGCCGCGAAGGTTCCAGCGTGGAAAAGGCTCTGACGACGGCCGCAGCCCACGCGACGCCCAACTCCGCAACAAGCGTCAAAAGCACTAGCGAGGGATCTCGCCAGTTTCCATCCGGAAATGTACTCATCCAAATTTAGTTTAGAATTTGGAATTTGAAAAAATCAAGAGACGCGTTCGCATTAAATTTTTGGTAAATAGTGTTCAAAATGTTGATTAAATCAAAACTAAAAATGTTTGTCTTGTAATTTCCCATCAAACGTTTGTGTAATTAGCCAACGATTTAACAATTATTACCAAATAAAAAGCAAAATATTTAATACGCGAAACGGTGCGTGAATTTGGGCGGCGCCAAATCTGGGGCCGAACTAAACGCAAGCTTAAAAATCCGAGCGATCTCGGCGAAAGGGACGCCCCGGTCGCCGTGAAAGCTCCGTGGTTTTGACTGCGCTGGCGGCAATTGGCACGGCGCGCGCGAACGAAGGGGCCGGTGGCGCCACGTGCGGATTGTGCCGCTGCTGCTGTTTGGTGCAGGCGTTCACGAAGGCCCTGCGACGTGGTGATGGATCTGTGGCTGTGTGTGGGGGGCTTTTTCCAAGGATCGTTTTGAGCTGCAGATTTGGTTGGTGCTCGACATTTCTGCGTCGGTCTATGGAAGAGAAGGAAAGTGTCTTGATTTAAATTGAAAATTCGTATCACGCTCGAAGGGTACAGCACAAGTGTGTGAAATTCTCAGTATGAATTACGCACAAGTTTCCGGTCCGGAACGTGACGATGATGCAACATCTTCCGATCCGATGGATGGACAGCTAGCTAGTTAAAATTTAATGTGCTGTGAGCGATGTAAGCCGCATGTTTCATTCGGTATCGATGCGATTACGATTGATGCTACTCTTTCGTCCATGAACTGTTGGTTTTCTCAGGCGCAGGCTCCTCTGCCTGTCGACAACAAAGGATATGCTTGGAATATTTACAAGTTCAGACACCATCATATAAATGGAAAAAAGTCTACATAACCCCCTCAACTATTTAGGGTGGACTACTTCACCACCAAAATATAAAACCAGATTTCTACCCATTGAATTTTTAAAACCGATCAAATAACCCCTCAGACGGTTTTGAACGGTGGTTTTGTCTTTTTTTTTTTTTTATTTATTTCCGCTGAATATTTAAAAAATCATACTAATCACAAAAAATTATAAAATAGAAAATCTAATTTTGTTGAACTCACATGAGTAGATCTACACAGTGAACATATAATATGGTATGTTTTAGTACAAAGTTTTTGTTTTAGCTTTAATCTATACTTTTATGTAATTAATTGAAATAATTTATAACTGCAGCTTATATGATATAATTGTGTTGAAATTTTTATGGTGGACTAATTATTATATATTTGAACTATAGTAAAAATTTCATACTCATTGGATCATGAATAACTTAGTTATAGATTAATTTAGGATATAACTAAGTTATACATGATCCAATGAGCATGAAATTTTTACAATAGTTCAAGCATATAATAATTAGCCCACCATAAAAATTTCACCACAAAGCTATGAATTATTCCATTTAGTTACAGAAAAGCATAGATCTAAAGCTATAGCAAAAACTTTGTACTAAATAACACTACATTATATATTCAATGTGTAGATCTACTCATGTGGAGTCCAACAAAATTGGATTTTCTATTTTATGATTTTTCTGTGATTTTCTATGATTTTTAAAGATTCTGCGGAAATAAATAATAAATAAAAAATAAAACAACAATAACTGTAGCAAAACCACCGTCCGAAATTGGTTAGGGTTATTTGACCGATTTTAAAAGTTTAGAAGTAGAAAATCTAATTTTATAATTGGGGAGTGAAGTATTTCACCAGAATAGTTGATGGGTTAAAGTAGACGTTTTTTCCCATATAAATAGGAGTGCTGCTTTCCGATCAATCTAAGAGCATTCAAAAGTTTTTCAAAAAGTTTTGGGAATTTAGGTCATCGTGATCGAATCGCTCACGTTCGTGTATTTGGCATTAAATAGTATTCAAAAAAACTAATTGCAAGTTTGGTTGAAATTCAAAGCGTTTGTACTCGCAATTTCATGATTAAACACTAATTATCAAATAAAAACGAAAATGCTACAGTAGCTAAATTTCTAAAATTCACGAACTAAACACAGCCCTAAGCTTGGACCGTTCGTTCGTACGAGAATGGTCCCATGCGTCCACTTAATTAATAAATAAACAGCTTACAGACAGGCCGCCAGACAGCTATAGTAGACAGCACCCGTTCGTTCGTACGAGAATGGTCCCATGCGTCCACTTAATTAATAAATAAACAGCTTACAGACAGGCCGCCAGACAGCTATAGTAGACAGCACGAGTACAAGGTAGGTTCAACTCCTCTTCTGTAAAATACTTAGGCATTCAGCACGTGCCCGATGAATCAGCTCGCTGCTTGCCTGCCGCTGCCGCCGCCGAGCGCCGATACCTGCACTGGTCCTGGATGCATGCTATCCTGTTCCCATCCACATGCGTTGAACCTTGCCCGGGTGCCGGGTGCGGTGCGCGCAAGCCGCAACGGTGGCGGCGACCAAATCCGGCGGGGTAGCCGCCGCCCGCCGCCCGCTCTCGTCGTCGACATCTCATGCGTTTTCCTTTCATTCCTCCTGTGGTGGACTATATAGTGCTATGAACTACATGTCTGTATATGTAGGTGAAAAAGACGGGCTGCTCGCAGGAAAAACGGGGTCGGAAAGCGATCTTTTTTCCACTATGTTTGTCTGTGCCTTTAAGGAAAAAGGAGAACATTGTGTTTGGCTGTAGTTTCACTTAACTAAGTTTTCGTTCCAAATTATAGTTCGTTTGATTTTTTTTACTCTAAGTTTGACCATTCGTTTTATTCAAAAAATTTATGTCAACATAATCAAATTTAAATCATTCTTGATGAACTTTTGTTAATAAAGCAAGCCGCAACAAAAGAAGTGATATTTTGCACAAATTTTTAAATAAGATGGTCAAATTTGAGGTCAAAAAAATCAAACTAACTATAATTTGAAAAGATTTAGTAGTAGTTTTAAGTGCCCCGCAGCTGGATGTTCACTGAGCTTTTCCTTCTTTTTTTTATGGAACACTGAGCTTTTCCTGATCAGACTGTATGTACGGTGTGAAGAAATTTACAGCTTTGTGTGCCGTGATGCCCTGACTGGCCAGTTTATTGGAGTTGTTACTACTTCCTCCATAAAGCAAGTACTTAGTTTATTGGAGTTGTTACTACTTCCTCCACAATAAATTGTAGTGTACTTTAGTTTTATCTCAAATCAAAGTTCTCTAGTTTTGATCGAGTTTTTAGAAAATGTATTAACATCTAAAGTTTAAATGAATACGCTATCAAGACATCTTTCATAGAGAATGTAATGGAGCTAATTTGATGTTGTGTATATTAACGTATTTTTTTACAAACTTGGTAGACTAGACAAATTTGACTTATGACAAATCTATATTGAAGAATGGTGAGAGTAGTTGTTATATGGTAATCTATTTTAGATTTGACTATGGTACATGCACACTCACGCATATAAATACATATGCTAACACAAATACACACAACTTACATCATGAATGTCTTTGAAAGAGCTGATAGATTTTGAGATCGATGAAGTCATCACACGCACCTTGTTGTCTACGGGTTGCTCATATTAGATACCGCTGGAAGAAGAATAGTACTCCCTCCATTCCAAATTATAAGCCATTCTAGCTTTTCTAGATACATAACTTTTATCATATATCTAGACACAGGCTATATCTAGGTGCATAGTAAAAACAATATACTTAGAAAAGTCTAAACGACTTATAATTGAAAATGGAGTGAGTAGTAAATACTAGCACCCATGGTAGTCGTAGAATCAGGCAGGTTCCACCTCATGAATGTAACCAATTATTCCATACCCAATTAACTCACCTCGCAGTCTTACTACTACTAATTGGAGCCTCCAAGTTAATCATTGGGACCTACATTAGGGAATAAAAGTAGAGAAACCCTAGAAATTGTCACAAAAATCAGAAATGTTGTCCATGGATTCAGTAGGTTCAAACATCATTAACAACAAATTGTCCATATCTATAATTACGAAATGCTACAAAGTTCATAGCTAAAGATTATTACAAATGGACAAATATAGGAAAGTATCTATATAAGTGATGTGTTTAATATGAACAAATTAGAGAGAGAAAATATAAGTAATTTTGATTAGTTATGGACAATAAGTTTATTAATCAATTCATATAAAATTATTTCTCTTAATATCAAGGGTAAAGTCTATTTCAAACCTCCAACTTGCATGGTATTATGAATTTCAGCCCTAAACTATGGAATCACGCTAGACATACCTCAACTGTTGAAAGTATATAAATTTGGTCCTCTAGCTGGTTTCAAATATAGTTTTTTATTTTATAAAAAAAATAAAAAATGTTTTCATCTCCAAATTTCATAACTAATATATTAATTAAAATAATAAATATGGAAATAGAACTATTTTTTTAAAAAAATGTTATCTATCTAGTGCTTTGCTTTGTATTGATTGCCTAATTAGGTGTTATAGGTTTCAGACAAAGGCATGCCTCAAACATTGCTCAACTTGTCATGCCATTGACATAAAGTAGAGCTCAAAAGATAATTTAAATACTCCCTTCATACTAAAAAATGAAGTCGTTTTGGACAGCGACACGTTCTCCAAAGCATAACTTTGAGTACTTATTTTTATAAAAGATATTTATCAAAAAGTGATATATGTAAATTTTTGTCAAAGTATTTTTCAAGACAAATCTATACATATGGTTTTCACATTTTCAAACTCAACAACTTAAAAGTTATTCATAATTTATATTCCCAATGTTTGACCAAGCATTGTCCAAAACGACTTCATTTTTTTTAGTACGGAGGGAGTAAATAACATGCATGACTACACAAGCAATGGAACACTGGAAACATGAATAAATAAGATCCAAATAACTCAACATAAAGCACCAACAGATAGATTAGAACAATTTTTTTTAAGAAGATAGAAAACCCCGTGTGTTTTTTTTTGCAGTTCAGTGATGAAAAATGTGCTGCCGTGTAAGTTGAAGGTTGAAAAAAAAACTTTACCCTAAAATTAATTGCACAAGAAGCATGTGTTAATGGAAAAGCTGGGAGGTATCCATCTTATGACACTTGTCCATATGAAACCATTCTCTCTTTTGTTCCCTCAAAGACTTCAAATGGAGTCGCAGAGAGTACAGCACAATCCCGTGTTTCAAAAGGCAGATTTCTAATTGTAGAGTTTCTTAATTGTCAATAGTGGACACAGAATAATAGGAGCTATGTGGTGGCTACAGTGAGACTTGTCTATGGGACGGATACCCATTTCATTACTAATAATACAGGACGATCCCCATTGCCGTTGTGTGATATATGCTCAGAATTTCACAATCGATCACATTGTCAAACCAAAAGAAATTGGACTAAACAAAGGTGGCCTTTTAAGTTCTACAGGTTCTAAGAAGCAGCACAAAGGTCGACGACGACATAAGCTGCCGATGAGGGTCTCGGTCAGAGAGGTAGGCCGTAGGCATATCCAAGAGGAGGTCGACGGCGAGTGACGCCAGTGCTGACGCAAACACAGGCACACTGACAGCCGCGGTGTTTCGTCCTGCTTCCTTTAGCATGAAGGCGTCAGCCACGGCCGCCGTGCATGCGTGCTCGTGTTTGTGCGGTGGCGGGTGGCCTTGACTGGACCAAATCCCTGCAGCCTGTGCAGGATCATCGTCACCACTCGTCCAATCCGACGACCTACCCCATCTCGCTAGATGCTAACCAACCGATCCGTACGTGCGCTGGCCGGGTCATAGCCTCACGTGCGCCGCTTCGCAATTACCTGCGGCTCCTGATGTGTGCATCGGCGAAGCTTTGTCCCGTTCCGTGCCTGTGTGTGTGGTTCCGGGCTTGCGGCGCCGGCGGGACATTTGTCTATTGTCGTTTAGCTACTTCCCCTAAAGTTTATTTTCTAAAACTTCCTTCTTATCGTATCGAATGTTTGTATACATACATAGAGTATGAAATATAGCTAAAAATAACTAATTACATAGATTACGACTAATTTGGAAGATGAATTTTTTAAACCTAATTAATTCAAGATTTGACAATACGGTGCTACAATAAACATATACTAATAACGGATAAATTCGTCCCGCGAATTACTGAGAACTTCTGTAATTTATTTTATTATTATTATTATTATCCAAACACTTACATATGAGATTCCGATGTGACACGCGATGTGATATCCTAAACTCCGCTGGATGACAATGTGTCTGGGACTGTGATGCCTGTGGGCTCGTTATGTAGGATACAAGGTGCGGCAACCGTAGGTCTGTTTGAAGGATAAAAAAAAGGAAAGAATTGGGGTTTGAGATCACGTATGGTTAATCAATTGATTAATTACGGTACCACCGGAACGAGAAGTAGTAGACGCAAACAAGATGGCAGATATATCACAGATTCACAGTTAAATTATAGAGTAATGAGCGTCAATCATGATTAACACGCGTAAACCAAAGGATATTTATAAAGCACTTTCTATATTTCAGTGCTTAAATTTTAAGATTCAAGCAATACTCTTATAGAACCAACTAGTTAAAAATTTACTTTTATGATTTGTTATTTGCCTTTGTATCATAAAATATTAAATTTTTGTTGTTGACTAACTATAGAAACAATCTTTGTGCCAATGCGGATCAAATTTTGTCAGATTTGTGGTTTTGTCTAATGGATTTTTATTCTCGAAACCGAAAACTACAGATTATACCTACAAAATAAATTGCAATGAACTAAAACTGTCATTTTAAGTATAAAATATCTGCAATAACCATCGTTTGAAAGAAAGCTAAAATTCAGACACCTGAATTTTAACAAGTCCCTTATAAAAGACGTGCCAACGAGTTACAACAAGAGGTGAACTCATTCCTTTCTAAACTATACTTCAATTTTGACATTAACTTTATACTACCTAACAGTTGTGTATTTGATTGACAAGGTTTAGGCATGAGAAGACATTGATAACGCAAGCTGAAATTTGTTAAAAGAAGATGACAATAGAATACATATTATGGAACAACTCTTCATCCAAGCCAAGATGCATTACAGGGAGTACAAAAAGGTCTACAGAGAGACCAGCATGTATGCTACATAATTGGAGAAAGGATTACACAAAGATGGAGAACAATTATTCAAAGTCACAACAAACTGTTGGACTTCAATGCTTGCTGAAAGATGCATCAAATGTCATGAGCTATGCACACTAACCTATGAAGATCCGGGTTGCAAATTATAAATTGATGAAAAGTTTATCAAGTCTATTTTTCAAGGCAACCAAACGTTGCATCATTTGGACTTCCAACAAGGAGTTATAACCATATTAGTGTAGACTGCTTAGGAGGCCGATAATCGTGCTTAGACTTCCGAGAATTCATCTCGTGGAGACCTTTCACCCTTGTAAACTACAAGACCAATTCATACCCAACCAATAGGGTTGCTTCTTAATAAATATATCTCTTTGTATCCAAGCAAAGCAAGATTTTTGATAATCGATATACAAACCCCCTCTATTTAGTTGTGTGCTAACAAACTTCAGAGAGTGATATCTACCCCTTTGCTCTTGCAGTTTCCTTCATGGGACTTACAAAAGTGGAAGCATCATTGTCACCCAATCTGTGCTTCTGTTCCGTTAATTCTAGGTTGCGTAGGTTGGTTCTTTGAGAGTGTGGTTGGACGAGTCCTTGGTTCAGGCTGCTATATAGAGCCGGTGGTTGGCTTCTTGTGCGTGTCATTAGGTTGCACTAGGTATTTGTAGCTTGCAACAAGTTATCTTGGCTATTTTAGAACTAGTTATCATGTTCGTGATCCTACTCCGTGAAGATCGGGACTGAGTCTTCATCATGCTTATTTTAGATGTATTCCTTAATATCATCCCTAATCAGGCTTTAGCTAGTATTTTTTCGCAAAGGGAGGATTTTAATACTTCAAAATCATTATATGGAGTTTATATAATATCCGTAAATCCATAGCCTAAAAACAACAAAAGGAGAGCCTGGTGCTTTAATGATAGTCAATTCTTAGACTACATCATCATCCATGTACCAGGGAGAACACCGTAGCCACTTGCAACAATTCACCGCAAAATGAAAACATGATCCTTGCAATCTCCATGTTTTTTTTGTGTTATGACAAGGTAGTGTGGTAGTACAAGTCTCTAAAGACTAAAACAAAGTTATGCTTTATGAAAGTGTTTTCACGACATGTTGTAATGCTAATCTTCTGTTTTCAGTTTGTAAAATATAGATTTTTTTTAGAATAAAATATAGATATTATTGAATATTGATCAAAGTTGGAAAATAGTTGACTTGAAACAAAATAGGCTTTCTTTTACAGTTGGATGGTATCTCAAATAAAACAAAACAAAGGGTGTCAAACTTAATAGCCTTTTTTTCCAATCCATACACCATTTCATAATCCAAACACTCCCAAAATTTTTCCACCACACCAACGAAACCACGAATATGCATTCTGAAAACCGTACATTTCACAAGTAACATTTGCAGTTAATTTAGAATGAAAAATTCTATTGCTGTACACCACAGGAAAACCAATACAGTACGGCAAAATATGTCAACACTATTTAGCCCTTCATGGAGTAGCTACAAGGAAAACATCTGGCTAGCTCTTATCTAAAACTGCACCCAAAAGCTCGGCAAGAATGACTTGACCTGGCACAGGGGTTACGAAATGTCGGCCCGTGCCATGTAGTTCTTCCGACATTCAAATACCTATCTACAAACAGCAGCATCACTATGCCTCAAATTTACAATGAATTACAATGGTTGGTATTTCTCTTCGTATCTATAGTGATTCCATAGACCCACTCTTTAGCCTCTCCATTCGTGCTTGCAGCCCAGATAGAGCTCGTTCATCCATGGGTGGAATATTGCTTTGTTGTTGGGGTTCACCATCCAATCGGGTTCCCCCATGCAGCATATTACTTCCGTTCATACTTGCCAACGGCCGAGCCTGAGCTCCGTCAAAATGACCTATAGCTGCAGCTTGAATGCTTTTCATCCTTTCCCTAAGAGCATCCAATGTCCCTGCTGGTAAAGAAATAATGATTCCAATAATCAGATCACATAAACATTGATAGCATATATAATTATGCATGCAACTGCATTGAGGCAGTGTAGGATGGGGACCTGAGGTCTGGTATCTCTCAGTCTGTTGGTCGGTAGCGTCACCTTGACCTCTGAAGGGTAGTGTCTCACCACTGGCATTATCTTCGTTATAATCCGTTTTGCTATCAATTGATTTTGTGTGAACAGGGGATGGTGCAAACTTTGGAGAGGGTATTGCTGCTATTGGGGGCGGTGTGGATAATGGAAGACTAGAGGGCGTTCTTCCAGCTGCTGCATTCTTCTCCACCTGCATTGTAAACAATGTAATTAAATTCAATCGTACCTCAAATGACATTAACAGAGCAAACTCAAACCCCTCCATGACTGAGGTTTCAAACCTGAGCTAGCCCATCTCTGATATAGGTTCTAAATGCTTCACTAGCATTCTGAAGCTGAGCAAATATATCAACCTGAGATAATGATGGCAGATCAGATTACGAACAGAAATATGGAAGCTGAATGCTCAATAGAAGATACACTTTCAAAGGAAATATGCACAGCACATTATTAAAATCCTCAATGTAGACTAAACCAGTTTACAAATAGTTCCCCAAGGAATAAGCAGTGCTAATGTGGAAGTACACTAATATTCTCTTTGATCATGTCAACTAAATGACTAATCCATCAGGCCTCAGCTTGACAAGTAACATGCCAGATATTTAACATGCCATCAGATAATACAACACTAGGAATAATACCTTTGGGTAGAGCTGAGTTATCCGATACAGTTCATAAAGGCCAATAGTACATGTTTGCTTGTCACCAATTTTCTTGAAGACAGCAGCAAGCTCTTGCTGTTCATAGCCACATAAGAGGAAAAAAAACATGTGAAATCACTGCCTTAATCTTAAGCATTTGCGTCACAAGCAAGCACGACTAAAAAAAGAGAAGACAGTTGCACCTTCAATTGCGCGTCAGCTGAGTGACTAGATGGATTTGGATTGTTTGACGCAGCATCACCCCAGTGAGTTTGACCCATAGGTCCTGATGGCGTCAGCATTCTAGCAGCTGCAAGGGTCTACAACGACCGAACAATGTTTCTTAGCAAGAAAAAAAGGTTGCACGAATAAGCTTGTTGGTAACGGTAGTTTAGCAAGTTCTACCTGGAGATTAAGATCAATGTATGCTAGAATTATTGGCTGAGGTTCAGCATCTATAGGAACCATTGAAAGGTGACCCTTTATTGCTGTCCCTCGAAGCTTCACAAGTTCATGCAATACGGTTTTGACCATTCTTAATGGCTTATCATCAGCACCAGCCCTACAGATTATACAGAATATCTATTTAAACCAAAATTCAAGAAAATAGTTAAAGAGCTATCCAAGGGAGGCAGACCTTCTCCGTATTTCTTCCATTCCCAGTTCTTGTAAATAAATGTGGATGCTCTGAAGAATTCGATCGAGGTCAACTTCATACATTGTACTCTGAAGAACCTGAAAGATGGAATGTCAGAAGTACTGTAAAGTTTAAATTCAGGAAAGCATCAGATGTAATGTCATGAAGAGATTCAGGAACATGTGTCAAGCAGATAATAATGTACCTTTGTCAACTTAATTAAACATTTGACAACTAAGTCCGAAAACTTCTGATTTTTTACAGCAAGAGACTCTGCTGGTGTAGGCGATGGCCATCTTGAAGGATCCAAAGGCCTCAGCAAATTAATTAGCACAACAAACGAGGATGTTCTCTCAGCATTATCCTGTTTCAAACAGGGCCATTAAAGAAAGCACAGGTAGAGCAAAGGAGAGCATGAAATAGAAATTTACATACCAGGATTTTAAGCATTAAAACATTAAGTGCTTTGAGTAATTGGCTGCCATCATCCATAAGAGGAACCCTTTCATCTAAAAGCCAAAGAAGTAACTCCGTAATAAGGTTGTCAAGGGTACCCTCCTTCACAGCATGAGCAAGACGTTTGATCTGAAATGTCTGTTAAAATAGCCCAAGATTTCAGATAAACAAAATCTGCCATAAAGAAGGTAAAGGGCCAAACACAAACATGTCAAACCTGCATGAGTGTGTTTAAAACATATTTGCAAGACCTTGAAGAGGCCCCAGATAAGCTAAAATTGAAGGTTTTTGGAACCTGCAAGATCCATGATCAAAATAAGACTTAAGAAAACAGAACATGAATAACACAACAAATACTAACCATAACAGCCAAGCATGACACTAATCTGTCAGCTTCCTTAATAAGATCTTCAAGCACCGTGCTTTCAGGGTCAGCTGCCTGCGTTAGCTCATGGCATATAACTTTCATACCTTCCACGGACTGCAGAAAACTAAAAGCATATATCAGACCAATGTTTCTGTTTAAAGAGTGAATGTAAAATCTTGATATGTAGAAATATAATATAAAAAATAAAGAACACAGCCTCAAGGAGATGGGATAGGTGGGAGAACTATGGGAAGTGGTAGACAGGCAGACAGCATGACCTGCTCAGGCAAACCCAATGCAACTATCTTGAGAGCTTCACGCCAGTCCGCAGGACCAGTTGCAGCTGGAATCTGCCTAGGTACCATGTGCCTATCCATATGAGCATCCGCATATCCGAAGTCCCTATTGATAGTCAAGCATAGACAGGTAGCGTTATGTAATGGTACATAAGAACATACAAAGAGCACAATAAGACAACTGGAGCCTGGAGCACCTTGAGATCATTGATCCTGACACTGAACGGGAGACTACTTCTCCGCTTTGTTCTGCTATATCAGACCTACATCCACGAAATGAAAGTACGGACAATTAAAAAAAACAGCCATCACAATAGGAATAAATAAATGGCAAGATTCAGAGACAAAGAACAAACCCATTCTCCCTAAGTGAACGCCTCAAAGCTGCTCGAGCATCACCAGGCCTTCCTTCTCTCCTTTTATCCATTTCCCTTGCCTAACATACCATCAGGCAGAATATAGTACATTCTTAGTCGTAAAGTGATTGCAGTACCTTTTTGTAAAATATTATCATATGTTTGATTATAGAAACAAACCTTCCATTTAAACCTATCATCGAGCATGCTTCTTTGGGCATCTGAGAGTTTTCCAACATATCGCCATACATCATCCCCTGTTTTGTCAAACAAAGTATACTATGAGGCTCATGCAAATCAATTCAATAGTATAAAATATTGCAAAAGGAGACATCCTGCTAAATTGCGTATATGCAATGATTTATTTCTTCTGCAAATACACAAGCACAAATGTCAAATAAATCAAATAAACTGTTCAAGACAATTGATACGGAAAATATTCGATTTTTTGGTAGACTGGGCATATGGAAAGGCTCAAATGTTGAGTTTGAGAACCAGAAGGGTTTGATTGATTATGCACCAAAAGAAGCTACAAATGTAAATGAAATATCATCTGCTCAAAAGGGAAGAAAAGGGTGGGGTGCATACCAAGGTTCTTGTAGGCTGTTGCAAGCGTATTAAGGGCAGCTTTCCTAATCTCACCATCACGCTCTGCTGTCAGTGCTGCAACAGATGGCAAGTTTTTCATCAACCCACCAACCTGCATGACAAAAACAAGCATCTCCTATAAGTAAAGCAAGACCACCTAACTGGCAAATGGGTGAAGATAGCAATTCAGACCTCAGTCCCATGATGGTCAATGAAGTATCCAATAATATCAACACATTCTATCCTTGTCCGGTTATTCTTGGAGCGGAGCCCCTCAAGAACATAAGGAAGTAGTTTGGGAAGAGAATAAATGTTGACCATTTGCTTTATCAGCTCCCCCATTTTTTCCCTGACTTTTTCAATGTTATGACCAGACTGCAGAACAACAGTAATTTGGTCATGATTGTAATATGAAATATGATAACACATCCAATATGCACTTTTGTACTAATCATACCTTCTCTATGAGGCAAGGAAGAAAAATTGCAGCTTCAGCTTCTGTCAACATGTAAGACTGGTCTTTTAGAATATCAAAAAGCTCAGGAAGAAAGTCAAGGACCTACAAGTGAAAGTAGTACACAGTACAGGAAACAAATTAGTTTATTGTGCCGCAACAAAAAGAAATAAGGCCAGCATGATTCTTGACAAGAGTGCTTTGCATTCACCTTCAACAAACATGTTGTGTTAGATTCACAAAAGCGTAAGACAAACCATCTTAATAGTATGTCAAGAAGTTCAATCACTTCTTTCCCACTCGAAGGAAGTGCCTGCACAGTTGCAACAGCATCAAAACAAGAAAATTCACAGGAACAAACTATGTTAAATCACTCTAATAAAGAGATTAAGTAATATTGTGATCAACTTCCAACCTTTTGTAGCAATTCAATACCATCTATTTGCCTCTTAAAGTCTGAGTTCCATAATCGCAAGCTTACATCTTCTCGGAAATGCTTAAACAAATCAATCTGCACATAAAATGTTATTCCAAGGAAATTAGATGATAGGTATATGTTCACACAGTAGTAACTCATATACTAGATCAGGCAAAAGGAAGGTAGACACTAAATCCAAACACACTAAAGATCAGAAATGCTTAAGCAAATCAATCTGCACATAAAATGTTATTCCAAGGAGATTAGCTGATATGTTCACATAGTAGTAAACTGCATCGGGCAAAAGGAAGGCAGACTATCAGCAGAAGCAGATTTCTGAGACACTATGAATTCACAACCAGCAACAACCAACATTAACTTAGAGAAAACTGAAGATGTTTCACTCGAATTATTACAAGTGTCCGCACAAAGAAACCAGCCGGTAAGACGGTAACCTCTCTTGCATCATTTCTCAGTAATCATTGGTCACTTGTAACTTCTCTAGAGACTGGTTCTTTTATTGGGGACCCACATACAAAGATGACTATTATAAACCCACTATATTTCATCCTCTGTTTTAATATCAAGTTCATCTACACCAATTTAACATATCTACTTGGTGAACATCCAACTTTTTAAGGATTACATATTTGAATTCAGATATTTGAAGCTATAAAAAATCTGGGTGATCATTTCTAATACCAGTCAGACAAAGGATTTTCTTTTCATTCTAAGGGGCCAATCATTGCAACACCATCATTTAATACCACATATCCAGGCTATAGGTCTTTGCTTTGTATTAATGTAAATGTAAACTGATTAAAAAGTTCAAATTTCCGCTTCTTGTTACATAACTTCATAGCACCTACTACCATGAATTTTGATCGAGTTGTGTCTGACTGTAACCATAGGATTTTGCATGCAAGCACAAAAGTATAACATCCGTTGTAACATCTTAGTTCTCATTGTTATCATTGAGGGCAACACCATCGTTTAATACCACATATCCAGGCTATAGATCTTTGCTTTGTATTAATGTAAATGTAAACTGATTAAAAAGTTCAGATTTCCGCTTCTAGTTACATAACTTCATAGCACCTACCTACCATGAATTTTGATCGAGTTGTGTCCGACTGTAACCATAGGATTTTGCATGCAAGCACGAAAGTATAACATCCGTTTTAACAGCTTAGTTCTCATTGTTATCATTGAGGACATTTGATATATCAAAATATGAGTACTCAGCTGGAAGATTCTAATAAGGAATATAACAGGATGCAAATGTAACAATCTTAAAGCAGTTCCCGTTTATGCAATATACATACAAACCTTTAGTTCATCAATCTGCTCTCGACGCGGTTCTTCGAACTTGAATTTTCTTACCAAAACACGCCTCTCCCGCTCTTCCTGATCAATAGGTAAACTTATATTAGACCTGTGCATAATACAGGGATGTTGCAGGGCCTGATGATTGCTCACCTTGTTTGAGTCCTTTATGTTAAATAATGCCTGGGATTGTGCAGGGTCTTGAGTAGAAACCATAGTAACAGATGCTCTAGCTGGAAGTCCTCTCTGATAGTGTAGTAGTTAGAAAATAGGTACCAATAGCATTATCCACAAAGACAAAGAAAGATGCAACACATACTTGGGACACAGGTTTGCCCACATTAGAACCACGATCATTAGGACCATGCTTATTGTTCTTCAAACCTGCTTTTGATGGCAAACTCATGCTTGTTGTCACCATCTTAACAGATTCAGAAAATCCTGATGAAATAAGCAACAATAGTAAGCCAAGAACAAAAATTTCAACAAGTACATGAAAACAAATACTCCCTCCATTCCAAATTATAAAATGCTTTGGTTTTTTTAGATACATTGCTATTATTATGTATCTAGACATAGTGTATATCAAAGTGCATAGCAAAAGTTATGCATCTACAAAACCCAAAACGTATTATAATTTAGAATGAATGGAGTACGTTACAATACACAATCTGTAAGACACCACCTTCATGTACAGTAGACAGTTTCAGCCTTTCTGATACAATGGCCAAAGTAGGTGATGGCAAATCTTTCAAGTTCCTTCCAACCTACACCAAACAATAAATTCAGTTGTAGGGAGAATGCTGCAGCATTAAATGGAAAGATGAATGAATGGAATAGGCGGATGAAACATACCACTTCTTGGCCACAGATCCTGAGAATTTCATTCATAAAGGATTCAGCAACTTTGCGGACTTCAGAAGATTTATCCTTTTCAAAAGAAGGGTATAGCCATTGAACAACAACATTGCTATAAATCAAACAAAAAACAATAAAAAAATCAGTTTAGACTAATACCATCAAAGAAGATGCAGATGGCTTCAACAAAGGCAAAGCCTCAGATGGATCACCCATTTTTGAAACATGCTTAGACAACCAATCAAAGAGATCTTTTCGCCCTTCTGAACCTGTTTTCTGATCACCCAAAGACACTATAATATATGGAACCATCTTGTCAAGTTGGGCTGCAGCAACCCACGAATCTAGAGCAGTCAAAGTGCATTCTCGCATATGCTTCTTATTGTCACCAAGACACTTCAGCACATCTGCCAAAATACCCTTCATAACAAACAAACAGTTGTCAGTTATTGTAGCGACCAAAATAAACATGCAGAAGTAGAGAAATCAAGCTTAGTTCCAAACCTTGCTTGACTTTTCAACAGAAGGTCCCATAGCAGATGCAAGGCTACCAATAGTGGACAAGGTTGCCATTACTAAATTTTTGTTGCTGTCATAAAGACGGCCTCTAAGCGCACTGAACAGGTCAGCTGCAGTGATAAGATGGCCAAGACAATTTACTACAAGTTGAATGAATACATTTATAGTCGCTTGGGATGAATATAATCAGTGGACCTGTTCCTGTAGGCTGGATACGTTTATTAGCATCCTCCACAATTTTGGTGACTGCGTCTATGGACTCCAGTCGTACCTGTGAATTCACGTATAAGCATAATATCAAATATCACAAATAAAATCCAAGAAACTTACAGAATAAATCAAATAATTTAAAAGAGACCAGTACCTTCCAGTCCGGACTGCCTAGATTTTTTAGTAAAGTAGGTGTAATCTTAGCACTAATGTCTTCCCGTGGCAACCCATCAGACGAGCCGGCAGATGTGGAAGATGCAGTATCCAGAACTCGAACTGTTCTCTTCGGAGCAGCAGCAACACCCTAATAATTGAACCAAACTGATGTCGGTGAAAATCAAAGTCACAATAAGTAAGCATTTTCCAAACAGTGACTCTAACACAGCATACCTCAAAAGGATTTTTCTCATATTCAGTATCCAGGGCACTTAGAAGTGCTGGTTTAACATCACTTAAAAAGCCTTTAATATCTGCAGGATGGTTTATTTCAAGAACATGATCTGGCGACTATCATATCATAACATATTAAAAAAATATAAGAGGACAAGAAGATGACCTGGGCCCACAAACTTATGTAGCATCCCAATTAGTTTTATAGTAGCATTTCTTGTTACAGCAGTACTTGACTGAAGACCGATGTCTTTGCAAAAATCAATCATGTCCTGATTTCAAAAAAAAAATCAATCATGTCCTGGAACAACAAAGACAGATAAGAACAAGAGTGTGGTAACACTGTAAGTATAGAGCAAACAAGCATAGGAAAGTGCACCTTTAGCTTTAAATTGGAGATCCCAAAGTCTTCCACAGCAGAGACCATCCAAAGAATACCCTCACTTAGGACCTTGGGATTCTTGTGCTCCTTCATTATTTTGTAAAGCTACACAAATAATTACGAGTAATTATAGTAGTTGTCAAACATCATATAAGCAGTGTGCATCTAAAGCACAGAATAATATTGAAAAGATGTTTGACAGTGCATACACTGAATTTATTGAAGACCAGCATATAACATCACCTAATTGGGTTAATTAAACAAATGTGGAGGACCTTTTGAACAAAAAACAATAATAGTGCAACGGTATCTCTTACCCTATCAAACACAAATCCAGGACCCACTGCCTCACAAAACGCAGTGAGACATTTCATTGCAAAGATCCGTGTTTTTATATCAGCAACCCTTTCACTTACACCTGAGAAAATAGCAAATCAGGTGTTAACAAATTTACTAAAATAAATATAGCACATGACCAAGAATTGAACAGGAAACATTTCAAATATGTTTAAAAACGGTAAAGTATGACCAATATATAAATAACAATAGGTTATATGCAACCAAACGAAATGCATCTTGTATGCTCAGCAGACAATACTAGAACATCCAAAATTAGATGTGAAAATAAGCACAAAAACAAGCTAGACAGAAACAGGGTACCAAGATGAAGCTCCATGCTACATTATTTATGAATAAACTGTTGCAGAAAATGGCATGGATCCCCCTTATAGCACATCAGAGACAAGTTCCTAAACTAAGGCCCACAGGCAAGTATATTAAACTCAAAATCCATAAATAGAATTTTCTCCTCTGTATCCAAGAAAAAAAAAACTGAAGAAGCCCCATCAGCGGATTGATAGTCATTGGTTTAGAAATAAAGATTTGTTGAAATTAAATTATTCAGAAGTTTGTTGAAATTAAATCAAATTAAACTATGAGACCTAAGTTCCAAGCCTATCCTAAATTCCAAACCTTGCTTGACTTTTCAACAGAAGAGATTACTGAAGGGATAGTTGTTCGAAGATTGAACAAGTTTATAAAGAAAAGTATTGACATTTGGGAAGTCAAAGAAGTATAAAATACATTTCATAGTGGATCTAATTATGCTCATTTGACACTGTATAAATATGATTACTGAAGGGATAGTTATTCAAAGATTGAACAAGTTTATAAAGAAAAGTATTGACATTTGGGAAGTCAAAGAAGTATAAAATACATTTCATAGTGGATCTAATTATGCTCATTTGACACTCAACAACAACAACAACAACAAAGCCTTTAAGTCCCAAACAAGTTGGGGTAGGCTAGAGTTGAAACCCAACAGAAACAATCAAGGTTCAGGCACGTGGATAGCTGTCTTCCAAGCATTCCTATCTAAGGCTAAGTCTTTGGGTATATTCCATCCTTTCAAGTCTCCTTTTATTGCCTCTACCCAAGTCAACTTCGGTCTTCCTCCGCCTCTCTTCACGTTACTATCCCGACTTAGGATTCCACTACGCATAGGGTGCATCCGAAGGTCTCCGTTGCACATGTCCAAACCATCTCAACCGTGTTGGATAAGCTTTTCTTCAATTGGCGCTACCCCTAATCTCTCACGTATATCATCGTTCGAACTCGATCCTTCTTGTATGCCCATAAATCCAACGCAACATACGCATTTCGCGACACTTAGTCACGTTGAATATGTCGTCTTTTTCAGAGGCCAACATTACGCACCCACACAACATAGCAGGTCTAATCGCCGTCCTATAAAACTTGCCTTTTAGCTTCTGTGGTACCCTTTTGTCACATAGGACACCAGACGCTTGCCGCCACTTCATCCACCCTACTTTGATTCTATGGCTAACATCTTCATCAATATCTCCGTCCCTCTATAGCATTGATCCTAAATATCGAAAGGTATCCATCCTAGGCACTACTTGACCTTCCAAACTAACATCTTCCTCCTCCCGAGTAGTAGTGCCGAAGTCACATCTCATATACTCAGTTTTAGTTCTACTAAGTCTAAAACCTTTGGACTCCAAAGTCTCCCGCCATAACTCCAGTTTTTGATTCACTCCTGTCCGGCTTTCATCAACTAGCACTACATCGTCCGCGAAAAGCATACACCAAGGGATGTCCCCTTGTATGTCCCTTGTGACCTCATCCATCACTAAAGCAAACAAATAAGGGCTCAAAGCTGACCCTTGATGTAGTCCTATCCTAATCGGAAAGTCATCCGTGTCTCCATCACTTGTTCGAACTCTAGTCACAACATTGTTGTACATGTCCTTAATGAGCCCGACGTGATTTTGGGACTTTATGTTTGTCCAAAGCCCACCACATAACATTCCTTGGTATTTTATCATAAGCCTTCTCCAAGTCAATAAAAACCATGTGTAGGTCCTTCTTCTTCTCCCTATACCGCTCCATAACTTGTCTTATTAAGAAAATGGCTTCCATGGTTGACCTTAGGGCATGAAACCAAATTGGTTCATAGAGACCAGCGTTATTGCTCTCAAGCGATGCTCGATAACTCTCTCCCATAGCTTCATAGTATGGCTCATCAACTTAATTCCCAGTAATTTGTACAACTTTGAATATCCCTTTATTCTTGTAGATCGGTACCAATATACTTCTCCTCCACTCATCAGGCATCTTGTTTGATCGAAAAATATGGTTGAACAACTTGGTCAACCATACTACAGCTATGTCCCCGAGGCATCTCCACACCTCGATTGGGATACCATCCGGTCCCATCGCCTTACCTCCTTTCATCCTTTTCAACGCCTCTCTGACCTCAGATTCTTGGATTCTCCGCACAAAGCGCCTATTGGTGTCATCAAAAGAGTCATCCAACTGAAAGGTTGTGTCCATATTCTCACCATTGAACAATTTGTCAAAATACTCATTTGACACTGTATAAATATTATTCTTCATTTCTATAATAATGGTCAAACTTAGGATAGTTTAGGATAAGCACAGAAATCTTTATATTTTGGGACAGATTAAGTAGAACATTATGCCTAATTTAAGTAGGCAGCTGAAGGGCACCTATACAGTGAATCTAAACATTCATAAACAAGGTCTTAAGCCCGGACCCTGGGTGTAAGTCAATAGCCTGTGCTTATGAGCCCATCAACCAAACTAAGACAGGAAACTAACTTAGGTTCAACCAGCAGTCTAGAACCCAGTTTCTGTGAGAGTAACTATTTATAATTACTGTCACCAAAGCTCAGAAAATCATGGTTTTAATCTGTCGACAAGTTTGCTAAGATTAGGTGGGTAATTTGATGAAAGCAAACTCAATCTTATTTTTGGGTGCAAGATATACATATTACATAAAAAAAGTACATGGAGAAGTAGAGGGGCCCATACCAAGAAGGCATAGAACCACACATCGCTTTGGAAATTTGTTTACAGTTGAGGCAATATAGGTGATGACCTCTATAACTTGTTGTTGTACCTGTTTCATTTAAATGGCATTACTTCCGTAGCAAAGGGATATTTCACTCAACAAAAAAATAGTTACCAAACAGTAAGAACCTGAACATTCTTTTCGCTCCATCCAGGCACAGCACACAACAAACGAATCAGAAGTTCAGCGGACTTATCAAGTTCCGTAAGACTTTCCACCTCTTGCTTGAGTATGCCAATAGCTGCCACACAGAGTAATGTTATATTCTCACTGTAGATGTTTCTTCTTTCTTAAAGCTTCACAGCAGAAAATAGGAGCGACATTTAGCATACAAATAAAACTGTCACGATAAGATTGCTTCCTGTTTTGTGGTCTCAACCAAGTGTGAGAATTATGAGTTATTCTAATAAGCTGATGAAAACAATTGCCGGGCACAGAACAGTACAAACAAAACAAGCGATTCAAGTTAATTCTTTGAAACCAAACAAATAGACAATAGCTTCAGGATAGACAACACAGGGATATCGGCAACCTTCAAGGCGCTCTTTCCAGACAGAGCTCTTTAGCTGGGAAATTGTCTCAGCTTTCACAACAGACCTTAACCTCTCTTCTATTTCCTCCAAACTCATTTCTGCCGGCTGCAAAAGATCAAACCAATAAATATCATACATGAGTTGTATGTACTATCAGTACTAATGATTTTTATCTAGTATCCACTACTTGAGAAGAAGAAAAAAAATCCAACACCAATTAGCCCTTTAAACATCTAGATGACATAAAAGGGGAATAAAAGTTCATCTAAATCCGTTGTTTAAGTATCTTTGGGCCAAAATAAACTACTCTACTGTCTAAAACATTTGTGTTCTCTACTCTTTTACAATATTCAAATACTTGTCCTGCAACTTCTAGACATCTTCAGACAGCAATTTCCAGTCTTGCCCTTCCGTAATTTGCAAATTTAACTAACTTTTTTCTCATGCACGAACACTTTGAGTGTAAGATGGCGTTTTATCTAGCTCCTTAGTAGTGCCCAACTCTAAAACAACAAACATTGTGGATACGAGTATCCATAAGGACTATAAAATTTTCCAGAAAAAGGAAATGATAAAATGGAAGTCCTAAACTAACAAACAATGCTTCTTTAGTAAAGGCACAGTCATGCACATCACAAAGGCCTTATCAGAACAAGGAAATGGTGTGATTCCAACAAACAAATCACCTCAACGTCTTCAATCTCAGGAGCAGCTGATGTCTTAGACTGTGATCCACCATCTGTCTTTTTTGCTGCAGTGGATTTTGATGGTCCAGATTTCTTGGTAGCAGCCTGGAAACAAGGAAAACAATACCCACATAAGAACATGGTGCACAAATTCAAATACTAGAAACTTACACATCAAATATGCATCTAAAAAGACTAACCGCTGCCTGGACAGGCTTCTTTCCACTAAGCATGCTTGCGGCAGATCTCTTCATTGACATGCTATCTGCAACCTGTAAGATACAGAATAATCTTACTTGGGTTGTTAAACATTTGATCAACAAAACTGAAGGGCGTACCCAGTGCAGAGAGCTCCCGCTTTGTGCGGGGTCTGGGGAAGGGTGTCAGTGGCAAGCCTTACCCTCGCCAGTGCAATGCGAGGAGACCGCGACTCGAACCCGGGACCTTCCGGTCACAGGCGGTAAGACTCTACCGCTTGCACCAGGCCCGCCCTTCATTTGATCAACAAAACTGGTCACAAATAAACATTGTTCTGATAAACAAAGTCGATATAACTAGTAATCGTTAAGCTTTTGAAAGTCCTTTTTTCTAGTTTTTTACTCAGTGACAACATGAAAGATTTTTTTTAAGCCATAACTAACAAAACCCAATCACAAATGGTGAATTTTCTAACAAGAATTCCTCAACACGGCACAAGAACTGTAAATAGGCACTTGGGAGAGGAAGGCTGACAGGTTGCAAACATCATCATATAATATTGAAATTAGAAGATCAATGAACTTACCCCGCGAGCAGATGTGGCTGCTCCTGATGTTGTGATTGGAGCTGGAAAAGTGCGGTTTGTACAGAAATTAGTCCAAAACAGAGACATTTGGTCCATTTAAATACAAGTAAAACTACAAAAGCAAATCTAACCTGTCCCTGAACTCAAAACAGTGTCACTGGAAGAACCTATCATATCTGATAACTTCTTTTTCCTCACATCATCTAATTTCTCCAGGGATCGTTCCAATGGTTTCATACCAACCATCTATAGAGAGCAAGAGTAACAAAAAATCCAGGCTTTAAAGCTACATTTTGATACATGTAATGAAGTGAAGAGAAATGCAAGCTCTCAAGAAGGAAACCTTGGCTATGGCAGTTAAAACAGAAAAAGAAGCATCTCGTACTTCTGGAGTACCATCATTCAAGCACTACATATTGAAAAACAGATCAGCACAAATACAAAACAGAACTAAAAACAGAGAAGTCGCTAGAAGTATAAAGTGGTTAGTCACCTCCATGCAGATAGGAACATATTCCTTGTGCAACTTCAGTACAGTTGCTTTATTTCTTGTTTCAATGCAAATTGCAACCCAGGTCAGCGTTGAGGAACGAACAAGGGGCACCTTGTTTTTTACAGCCACCCGAACATCTGCATTACCAAAAGACAGCATTTTCTTGCTCAGATTTTGATCAAAGCTGAAAGGTTCATGTCTTGAGATTCAACAAGAATTGTAAATACTTTTTTTCTGGCCAACCTTTGGTAGCTTTCCCTTAATCACTTATTAAGTTACAAAAGGTCAGCATCTAAAAGTTATCAGTCATCGAATATTTCAAACTAATTCAGATTTAATCTTGCTTTGAAAAGGTTTTGGGAACTTAAATGCGCAATTCTCAGGTTCAGGGAACAAACTATACAAATTTATAGGGACCTATGGTGCATTTTAGTGAAAGGAATGTGGTTACACAATAATATGCTTTAGAGGAAATCAAAATATGTTTCAGACCAAAAAACAACCACAACCATGAAAATAATGCTACAGACAAACATGTGCAATAAGATTGCTAGAAAATTACAAACCTTCAATCACATCAATAAGTGTAAAACAGCCAGACTTGTGCATTGCTTGAAGTGTTTGATTTAGTGCTTCTGCCATTGTAGGCTTTTTTTCTTTCAATTTTTCCTGTTGAAAAGAATCAAGACAGACAGAAATATGCAAGTTTCAATGGGCATCAAAGTCCACACAGTAAAGCAACAAAAGGATTTAATAGCAAGTTTCCGTTATTCAGGAAAAAGGATCGATGTTCTTCTTACAAGTAAAACCGGAAGGAGCATCCGTGCATTTCCAGAAAAATGGGCTCTTAAACCTCTAGCTAAATTCCCTATTGCCTGAATAGCTTCCACCGCAACAGCCAAATTAACATCTGTGATGAGCTGCAGTACCAAAAACCACCATAAGAATCCAAAAAAACAAATATTGAATACCTCAACACATAACACTCAAGATTAGATAAAAGTGCTAATTTCTAAGCCAAATGATCCCACAACTAATTATAAGACTTCAATTCAAAAAAGAAAATAATACAAACACTCAAAGGGTGGTAGCTGAAGATTTGAACAATTAAACTTATCACAAGGATTTAGAAGATCATGCAATACAGGCGAAAAACAATCTCAGAGACTTGACCTTCTTTAGTGTCCGGCAAATTTCATGAAAATCACCATGAGCAATTTTTTTTGCCGAAGCAAGCTTGGTTAACTCTGCCACAGCATCCCTTCTCTCCGACCATTTAGTTGCTTTCTGGCATCAGACATCAAAAACCAATATAATAACTACTTTTCATATGATAGTGTGACCAATAAAGTGTGCATTCAAGACAGATCACATACCACACCGTCCCAGAATCCAGACTTTTCTAGTGGGGCTAAAATGTCTACAGGATCAACAAGGTCATATTCATCGATCTCCACAGGGGCTGCAAAGTAGAATTGTGCCAGTATTCCCATCATTAGTTTGAACAAACTATCAACAGCAATATTCATATAAATAATTCACAGAAGAATGCACCATCTGCCGCTGCCTCTTCAGAAGTGTTAGCCCCACTTGTCTCTGGCACAGCCTCCTCCTCAAGTTCCTTTTCTTGTTCGGATCTGGAACACAGTGCCAAATCACCACTTTCAATGCATCATGAAACAAGTCAAAGAAAGATCATATTCATAGCAAGCTGTATGCTTCGTTAACATTATGTACATTGTACAGGTGATTTCAAACAGATCTATAGCAGTTCAACAGTACAATCTACACATTCCTTATGACCCACAAATTGCATAAATACATAGCAGTTCAACAGTACAATCTACACTGACCCACAAATTGCACAAATACAAAAGAAGCTAATGCAGCATTAACACATTTGTTAGGGCCCAAAAACTAACACAGTTTGTTCAGTACAAAAATAATATCAGGAACAAGTTTAAACAAGTTGTGTGTGTTCCGCAAAATCTGCCCACTACACCATCCTATAAGAGACAAATTCAATGGCTAAATCAATGAACTGAAAATTCCTCATAGAGGTCTAAGTAATCCAAGCTTATGTACTCCCTTAAGGTTGTTTATTAGTATTTTGGTTAAAATACACAGATGGCAGTGAAACAATGTGATATATCATAAATGAGATGCAAAAATTATATAAATTACCATCACGTAACAAAATGGAGTATCAACACATAATCCACAGGCTATCTACCGACTCTCAAGGCAAGCAAATAATTATTCAAATATAAATAGTACTACAGTTAACTTCAGCTGGCGTTTCAAATGGTTGTGTAGAATCAGTCCTACAATCTGAACCATGAATAGGCCATAAGTGTTTTCATCTAATTGATTAATTACAACAAAAGGAAGAATTGTTTTTAAAAGGCGAAAATAGAAACACCTTATTTTTCGAGTTGGCTTAGCAAGTCCGGACACGTTTGCCAATTCTGCTTCCAACTCCTTTTTCTGTAAACACAACGAATATTGGTTATATTATTGAGTGATAGAACACGATTACACATGTTAAACTTTTAAGAATAACACACCATGGTATCTCTCATCTTCTCGAATAAAATAGACTTTACAGGGTCTTTGCCAATCCACCGACAAAGCTCTAGTGTCAAACCCTTAGAAGAAGCCCGGACATTCTGGTCTGGATGGTCAAACAGCTCAGGAAGCATCTTCAGAATCTTTTTGGGTGGCACTACCTTAGTTCCAAATTCGCTAGCAGAGGAAAGATGTTGGTAAGAGTTGACAAGAACTTGCCAAATCAGGGAGCCAAAGAACCAGCTAGGAACATACCTGAGTGCTTGAAACATCACATCAATAGCAGGTACAACTGCTTTAGCCACTTTGTTCTTCACGGCCTTCTCCATAGATTCCTGACAGCACAACAATATGTAGTTTCTTGAGCAAGTTACCATGCTATACATAGTTATAAGAAGGAACATGGAATTAAACAGACGTGCAATTATGCGTTTTCGGTGAGCAAATAAAACAAAATATGAACAGTGGCTGTTTCATAAGACTTGTGGGGGAAGAGGTTGCTTGCAGATGATGTAACAAAAATACTCAAAATGGTAACAAACTGGGAATTAAAGAAAACGGTTATCGTCACCATAAATCAAATGCACAAATGTTTTTAATGAGAGCAATTAGTTGTCTCGCTCAGAAATAACACCTGGTAGTAGCTACACCCCTTTTAATGGTAGCAATCAATATGTTGCATGCTTTTACTGTTTTACATGATACCCATGACTACAGTGAATCCTGAATGGCAAACAATAGAAATGACTTTCATGCTTGTCGCATTTATTCAGAAGGAGTACCTAGAAATTGCTAATGTGAACAACTATTTGCTAATTGAAAATGAAAATCATCTGGCAGGAGGAATGCAGCACATAATCCTATGTCATAGGCTCAGCATTTGTAACAATATTGATAGTTGGTGTATTAGACAATGACAAACTGTCAATACTACCTGCAACTACATGGAACATTTCACCACATGTTGCGAAAGCCAGGTGAACAAAAAAGAACTAGTATTATGTATGCACATGCATTTCACCAACAGCTCACAATCATAACAATCAAGGGATTGATAATCAACTTACAAGGAAGACCTCTGCTGCCTCCAGTTCCACCCATAGGAGGAATGCAGCTTGAGCTTTCTCGACAGTCTTTGGTCGGCCAGTGAGGCACTTGGCCACGATTGCATCACAAACCTCCTTCGCGTATCTGAGAGAAGCCAACTCCATAAATTGTTGAAGATGACAAATAATCAGAAGCATAAAGGGGAATGCCTTGGCAGCTGAAGGCACACACCTTGATGCATCGGCGTCAGCAGCTCGCTGGAACGCGAGGAGGGCGTCTAGCGCCTTCTCCTGTACCGGCGCATTGGAATCTGCAACCGTCTTCTTAAACAACGGCCCTAACCACCGGAGTAGAACATAAAAACACTGGACTTCAGATCTTGCACCCAAAAAATGGTTTGAAATCCGCAAATGGAACCGCACTAATCGAGCATAGCGCAGATCCGAGCGCGAAATGGGGCGGATCGGGAGGCGTAGGGGAGGGTATCTCACCGAATTCGCGGAGGCGGGCGTCCTTAGGGTCGGTGATGGAGTCGCATAGGGCGGCGAGGTCGATGTTTGCGTCATTCCTCACCTTCCAGTTCTTATGCTGCAGCCGCTCGTCCCACGGCAACTTCTTCGCCTCCTTGAGGAGCTTCTCGTCCTCCGTCGACATGGCCGGCTGCCGCCGAACGAGCGGCACTATAGCCTCACGTGTTCTACAGCGGCCGCCTAGGGTTTCGAATTCGGGTGGCGGCGTTCGTCGGTCGTTTGGATCGGAGAGAGAGTGAGAGAGCGCGGGGGGAGGGAGAACGAGGGGAGATAAAAAGGCAAAAAATATTTTTCCGGAGGTGAGAAAATGGTAACGAAATATGGAGTGAGTTTGGAGTCGCGTCGGGAGCGGAGCGGAGCGGACCGGCTCCGGCGGTAGGTTCCCCGTCAGGGTCGGGGGCTAGGCGTTACCCAATACTCATACAGTCACTTTCTGGTAGGCCAGTCTATGGGGTCCACGCGCCGCTGCGTGGGCTATTGGATAGTTTGGTGGTAAGCACCCGTTCGCAACGGAGGGAGTGGGACGGTGCCGGTGCGGTCGGGGTTTTTGAAAGATTTTGAATTTACCGGGGAACTCGCGATGGACTTCGAGGCCACGTGTACGGACGATATTAGCTGTGTACTTTTGAAGGATGACTAAGCCTAAATCGGCAATTGTGGTTTAGATACGGGGTTACCCTACGCCAAGTATATCATGGGTGTTTTGCGCTACGGTTGTGTAACACCTTAAATTTGGATTTCAAAAAATAGAAATAATTTCATTATATTAGCATAGTTATTCCTAATGTACAAGGGAAAATAAGGTTTTACAAAAAAAAATATAAGGTATAAATAATGTATTGTTGCATACATGACGCTGCGAATTTTTTATTGTCTATTTCGGTGTGTTTAGTTCCAAGTGTGAGCCTAGTTTAAATAAGTTTGTAGTTTCAACCTTCTTCTAGAAAATATAAAAGCTTTTCTCTCTTTTTCCTTTTTCCTTCTCAAGTTTTGGCCTGTTTTTGCTTGCCCACAACTCTTTCTTTCAACCTAGCAACATCTTCTTTGGCCATCTCCAGCCTCGCTAGTGTAGTGCGCCAGTACGCCACGAGCAAATGAAATGGCCCAGCTCGCAACAGCTGCAACGTGGAGCTACCCACGCATGCGTCGAGTCACCGCCAGTGACCTAGCTATAGTGGCACTGCTATCCTCGGGTTGGACTCGAACTTGTGTTGGGTTCCGCCGCCGTCACGGGATCCTTGTGCACATGAACCTAGGTTCTCAACCCTATATAGGGGTTGGACTCGTGTGGCATGCCACCTATTTCAACCTGAAAGGATCTAAACAATGCCTATAGGGGGTGAATAGGGGTATCTAAAATTTTCTACACAAGCTTAAAGTAACTTGTCAGCAACTGTCAGAAGTTCCAACACAAAGAGTCGGGAGTTTTGACTCCTACGTGAACTACTCAATCCAAGCTAAAATAAACTTTGTGAATCCGATAACTTATAACCCCACTTCAGTAGTGATAAGATGAAGCATTGGGGTTACTCTTATCATGCCAAAACAACCTTCACTCTATAGATCGAGTCCAAACCCTAAGATATGCTTTAGGGGAGAAGAAAACAACCAAGAACAAATATGATAGCACAAATCACAACAACAACAAGCACGCGGGACACAAGGATTTATCCCGAGATTCGACAACCCCACAAAGGAGCTCCTATGTCCTCATTGTTGAGGTGACCACAAAGGTCGAAGTCTCTTCCACCTTCTTGCCTCTCTCAAGGCAACCACAAAGATCACTTGAACTTTCCACAAAGAAATTAAGGGCAATACAATCTTCCCAAGGCTCTTCCACAAGATAGAAGCTCTTGGACGACGCCTAGCCGGCTAGGAGCAAAGCTCCAAGAGTAATAGACGTAAATCCAACCGGCTTGACGAAGAGATCAAGTGCTCAAGCTTGCTAGAGTGATTATCTCACTCAATTCACTCTTCTTTCACTCAAATCCTTAGGGGAATCGAGGTTAGGAACAAAGGGAAGACGAGAGGGGAGAAATGAATGCTTGGGAGCTGTTTTGGCTGGAGTTAGGTCGTAATGAATGAGTGAGTAACGATTAGAAGAGAGGAGAGATCTATTTATACGCATAGGCAAATTCAACCATTCAGATCTGTGTCGAAAGTCCCAACACAGATCGCCGGAACTTCTGGCGCCTATAGAAAACACTGTTCAAACCGTAGTCAACTTGGCTGACTCGGCCAGAGTCAGAACTCTCGTCAACTGCCAGGACTTCCGGCTCACGTCAGGACTTTCGACGTTTAGCCGAGTCGGGCAACTAAGTCCCAAGACCCGGGACTTCTGGCTGGAGCCAGGACTTTCGGTAGCCGGAGCCCCCGGCAAATGTCGGCACTTTCGACGGCCAAAATCCCAAAAACTATATCTAAGCGTTCATGAGGTGCTTGAGTGTCTCTCTTTTGATTCTATTTTTATGCTTGAGCACTCTATCTTCCTCAGACCACCTAAACTTGCATCCTTCTTTATAGTATGGCAAAACTAAACCCAAAACAAGAGGTAAAAACTTTGAAGACTGTTTTTGAATTCGTCCGCCTTTTGCACTTCAAGAATTGAGGGACACCATTTCATCTAAATCAACTCTTTAAATCTTTCATGGGACTAAAGTTGCAATATATCCCAATAAGATTTCATTAGTCCCTAATTTGAATGTTATTAATACACCGAAACCCACAATGGGGGCAAATGCACTTTCACAACCCCATCACCAACCGCCACCCTGTGTCCAAATGCTACATTGCCTATGCCGCCACTCAAACTCGCACAGCTGTCGATCTACATCTCCATCGCCTCCTCGCCAGCGAGGAGCCCTCCATGGGCTTCGCACGAAGGAAAGGAGCCTTTCTAGTGCCCTCCTTTCTCTCTCTATCTCTCGCACACACTAACACTTGTTGTAGTAATGTCGATGCCAATGAGCCGCCTTGCCACACGCGCCGTCATACCAGCCATCTCCTGCTACAGTAAAGTATGGAATTATCTTCCTCCACCTATCGGTCCATCATCCCTCACTCCACTCTTCTTTCGTTACTCTCACTCACTTTGACCCTTCTCACTTTCATTGTCGTCCCTCACCCCCACCACCCCTTGCTTCATAATCTCTTAGTTTTAAGCTGCAATTTCTCTCACGCTAGTGATCACCGCAGTCGTGCCGATGCCACCAAGCCGCTTTGCCGCACGCATAGTAGCCACCGAGCATCTCCTGCCGTGGAGAATAGCCAGCCGAGTCCGTCGTGCCATCCTCTCTCTTCCGGTACCAACCGCGTAGCCAATAGGGCCCTAATATTGAAGTGCGGAAATTTCTTCATCCGTCTATTAGTCCATTGTCCCTTACTTCCACCACTCTTCTTTCGTCGCTCTTACTCACTTTGATACTTCTAACTTTTAGGGTCATCCCTCACTCCAACCCATCTTCTTTCGTCGTGCCACCCTCTCTCTTCGGTACCAACCGTGCAGCCAATAGGGCCCTAATATTGAAGTGCGAAAATTTCTTCATCCGTATATTGGTCCATTGTCCCTTACTTCCACCACTCTTCTTTCGTCGCGAGTCAGTCCGTGCCCTGGAGATGCTGGCACAGGCTATTGGTGGCTTCGCCCGTGGAGGCCCCGGTGGGAACGGCGAGAATGAGGGTGGTGCCCACGGTCCTGAGAGGCTCTGTTCCTATCAGGACTTCTTGGGGACACACCCACCACGTTTACACCGACTGCTGAGCCTCTGGACGCGGAGCATTGGCTTCGTATTCTGGAGTAGAAGTTTTAGCTGCTCAATGTGACGAATGAGCAGAAGGTGTGCCTTGCCCGCACATAGTAGCTTCTGGGATCTGCCAGTGCTTGGTGGGACACTTTCAATGCCATGCAACCTATGAACCACCACGTGACTTGGCGGGAGTTTACCACTGCTTTCGTCAGTACTACATTCCTGCTGGTTTGCTGAACAGGAAGCTGCCCGAGTTTCTGGAGCTGAAGCAAGGAAACATGATTGTGATGGAGTATGTGAAGAAGTTCAACCATCTTGCACAATATGCTGGGACTCATGTGGATACTAATGAGAAGAAGATGGACCGTTTCAACCATTGTCTCTCTTGTATCTTGCAAGAGAAGTTGTATACAAGGGGCTATCAAACTTTTGGTGCTTTGATGAATGCTGCCATTGCTATGGAGGGACTTCCGCGTGACTCTCAGGCTGAGTGGAAGTGCAAGAGGGTGATCACTGGGTCTTCTAGTCACCCACAGTCGCAGAAGGTACAAGTTGTGAGGAGGGTGTCTTATCACTCTCCGGGTGGACAGCCATCTCGCCAGACTCAGCAGACTCATCGGGCACCTTCCACTCTGTACCGTGCACCTACTCAGCAGGTGCAGCAGCCTCAGAGACAGCAGGTTCCGCCTCGTCAGGGATAGGGGAACAAGCCGGGTGCTTGTTTCAAGTGTGGCAAGGAAGGCCAATATGCTCGTGAGTGCCCCCAGAACCAGCTTACTCAGTCTTCTCAGCCTTCATCCAACTCTCGTCTGGTCAAGAGGACCATCATCAGGAAGAAGGTGCCCATGAGCCGCTCTAGACAGGTTAACATCACCGAGGCTGAGGAGATTCCACAGGGTGAGCCTGTGATGGCTGGTACGTTTACCATTGATTCTCATAGGTGATGGAGGAGCTCCGATGAGGTGGTCGTGGCTTGGCGTCACTGAGAAGAGGGAGAGGCTCGGCGTGATGAGGGTGAAGCAGAGGAACGATGGAGACATGGCTCGATGTGGCAGCTGCTAGTGTCATGGTCCAGTGCGGTGAGGAAGAAGGGGTGCAGCGCAGTTGTGGTGAAGCAGAGGAGCTCAGCATTCCAGTGGGACACCACGGGGTGGAAGAAGCAGCTCGGGCGGGTGCTCTGCTGCTCGACGAGGAAGAGGTCGCCGGTGACATCGTGGTCTAGAGAAGGGGATGATGGCATCGCGGTCGCGGTCGCGGTGGAGGACGAGCTCGGTGCTGGCGCTGCGAGCAGGAGGGCTCGACGAGGACGGAGGCGGCGCACATTGTTGTTGGCTCGGAAAAGAAGACGGCGATGTTGCGGCTTAAAGGAGGGGCTCAA